GTTCTATTCGGATATGGGCAAGTGTGTTGCGTGAGCTGTCTTTATAAGGCACGGATAGGTGAATACAGTTTCTTCTTCTCACGGGTTTATTTGATGCTTCCTCTTTGTATTTTTGGAATCCATTCACCTATGATCCATTCTGTCTCCTACGGGATGGAGAATCACATTTTTTTCTCGGTTTCACAATACGTACGTCCGACCGAATCAAGGAACTGACTGGCTTCTCCAATCCCACTCCGTTTAGTTTGAAAGATGACGTATGCCTAATTGAGCCCACCTACCCGTACCTTGAAATGTGGATTCTCGAAAGCGTGACGGGAGTACTCGCAGTCACAGCTGGGTGATTGCCGTTCCACCACTCGAAAGTCAATTCGGAACGTTGAGTTCATGTCTCGTGCCCACCGGAAACCATTTCGTGTAAACTTGGAGACGCTCCGGGCAGAACCGCCGGACGGTTCGAGACGAGTTGGGTTTTGGAGTTTTCAGTAGCCTTGTCTCGCTCCAGCCCCATCCAACTGTGGCGCACCGAGTTCATACGATCACTCGTTAAAATGGCGCCACCCCCATTTATTGGAACAACTCCGCCATCAAATCAATCCACTAATGCGAAATCTTCCCTGACGGATCCAATAAGAACACCGCTCGCCCCCGACGATATGAATGGTTCCGACCGACTCCAATCCGTCGTTTCGGCCGGTTTGTCGGTCGCCTTGCGACAAAAAGGGTTACCGTCGTTTTCTTAGTTCAGCTGTGACCCACCTGCTTTCTCCTGCTCAGGAATTCTTCAGCTGACTGCTGAGTGTTTCGAGCAGGCAACAGTGGGCCACTCTGCGGCAGCATCACCGGCGAATACGTTGTACCCATCCTCCAGAACAGGCTCATTGAGGAAATAATCCCCTCCGCCGATCGGATGAGGGTCATATCTGGGCGCATGGACCGGGAGTCAACATAGTTCATGGCGAGCGGGTGCTGCTAGGGAATTCACGTGCGATATTCGGTCAGAAATGGAGGAGTAAAGTGGGAGCGATATCATGGCCGATTAGTGCTCGCGGGCGGCATCAGCTGTAAACCGTATTGCTTTGGCACTGGTGAAGCCCGGCTCACAAGTCACGATACGACCGGACGCATTATGAGTTACGATGATTCTCGGTCCTCATGGGGTGGAACACAGATCATATTACCACACTGAAGGCACACTTCTCTGAGCATTAATAGCCTAAGTACTACATATCCTCTCTTTTTCCTTTTCTGTATCCCATCCCACGATCACATCTGATAAGGCCACAGGGTGGGCATTTTATAATCCGGGTTCCGATATATGTTCATATCGAGATGCGTTCCCCACCTTCCACCACCGTTAGCAATCGCAACTCACGTTTCTATGCGAAGCTCAACATATACCTGACGATCCCGCCCGACTTCTTCCAATCTCGGCAATCCCCAGCCAATTTCATAGCCCTCTTACCGAGCTCTCTACACGGCACGCAGTTTCCCTTGGGACCACAGATGCTAATGGCCCCGGTGATCTCCCTCTTCAAATCGGTACACGGCCCATCGTTGATCTGGCAGCAGTCACCCTTCGCGTCCTGAAGCTGCCACGCCATCCGCGCAACATCCATCTGCTTCGGCGATCCTTCGGTGGTCTCGCAGATCTGCTTGGGGGCCGGCAGTTGGCGGGGAATGATGCGTGAACTCGGCTTGGAGACGGGGCTTTTGGGAAAGAAGAGGTGTGGCATGATAAAAATTGCGTGGAGCTTCTCCAAGGCGGTGCGGCGTGGGGATGGGTCTCCGTCGTTGGAAATCTTCGAGACGGCGAAGGCGGACCTTTGCTCGGGGGCACAGGTGGGAATTGCGAGGACTGAGGCAAGCCCTATGAGGAGAGCGACGATAATTGCGGACTGCCAGCTCTTCATCGTGGTGGTGTGGTTGTTGGGTATCCTAAGAAGAGGGATTGTTTTCCGCTGAGACCTGGAAGTAGATGGGATGTCGGCGGTCGGTCGGTGGTCGGTCGGTGATGAACTTGAGTAGAACCAGTGATTTGCCGCCATATATACATTTTTCTTTGTCTCCGAGAGAGTTCATATCGCGTTATTTTTTCTTCCAAGAATAGTGGAAGGGGGTACGGAATGTATGCCTACAGGTATGTGGAATGCACTCCATACCTATGATATCCTCGCGCAGTACTCCAGGATTCGTCCGATATCCATAGGTCACCCACTGACATCGGGACATTCCGATAGGACCCTGTTCGGGATCAACTCGTGGACTACATATGAGCACGGTCGTTTTAGTCGATAGAATTTTGCAATCGGCTGGGGTGGCGTAAAATGCCGCTGGTCCCCGTACTTAGTGCAAGAAGCGACGTCAGATGCCCTTGACACAAGGAATGAAGCCCAATTCTGTGAAGTCAAGAAGCCACCGGGATGGGATGGCGGGGGTAGCAAATCGTCACGCCAGTGGGTCGGAGGAATGTGGCCTCCTAGAGGGAGTGAAGGAAGTAGGAGCGCGATTAAGCTCCTTTTCTCTCACCAAGATTCTAAATGCCCGTATTTCTTGGGATGATCTTTTCGCTGCAATGGAATGCCTTCCATTCCTACCATTCGGAGGGAGGCCTTTCCCAGTATGCACATGGGAGGGAATGCAAAACCATCCATTCCAGATCTAAATAGACCCCTCTCCGAGTCCCTTGCTAGGATTTTCTACTTCACCCTATTTGAGTATCGTTTCTGCAGGCTTTTCGGCGTGATCGCTTAGCTTTAGCTCCCGCGTCTGTCGGCTATGAGAACCGCAGCACCCCCAACTGAGTAACCTGATAAGAACCTCTCTGGAGATTCACAAGCGCGCCGTCAGAAGTCTCAAAATCCGCAGTCGGCCAATTACCAGAAACCGCAGCAAGCATCTAGTAAGATCTCTGACAACCATGTGTCGAACATCAATGATTTCACTGCAGCCAAAAGCACGCATTTTTTTTAGTTCCACGATCGTCGTATTTTCATTCCAAAGGAAGAAGACTAGCTATTGGTGAGATTTCGTCCCCTGAATGCTGCCCCCACGCTCTCAGCCGACACACATGTCTGCTTGTGGTCCTCCTCTTCTAGAATCGCAAAGAAAAAAACTGTATTTAGATCAGTGGTTGTTCACCATGAAAAATTAGTGAATGCTCAGACTGCGTACCTAGAAATTCGCCCCTGCCCAAAACGGTCTGTCTAGAATCGTTTAACCTCGCCACAGGTTACTACTGTTCCGAGTCGCCTCCATGTGGGTGGTCTTCCGTTTGACCAGTGTTTTCCGAATCATGTAGAAGCCGGAGGAACTCTGAGAGATCTGCATCTTCGATGTCGGACTCATCCTCGGTGGGTTCATTGGCCGGCGCTTCCTGCGTATTCATCAACCTCATTACGCATTCGATCACGCGATCGACGTTTTCGTCATCAAACGGCGATTCGTCGACATTGATGGCCTCGTCGCTTCCCATGACGTCGTTCACACTAGCCGATACTTCCTCACGCGCTCGGTATCTCGCACGACCTCCTTCGGCACTGTGACCAGCCACAACAACCCTGAATGGATCAACGCGTAAGGGTGAGAGGCTTCGCGTGCGGCGGTCTCGATTGCCTCTGTCCGGGCGCAGATCCCGGGATACTAGTGCTTGCCCGCCCTGCGGCGCTGATAGTCCGGATTGCCCTTGAATCCCCTGGAACGCTTGTGGTGATACAATCCCGTGGAGGCCTTGCGTGGCTGCTGGTGATGATAATGCGTTCAGTCCCTGTGATGCTGGTAAGAAGGATGACGCTTGAGGCCCCTGTGGCGCCGGTTGTGATGGTGGAATCGCTTGGATTCCTTGTGATGGTGGAAGGGGTTGCCGATTTTGCCGCCTAGCCTGGAAGTTTCCGGTCCTCGTTACATATTGAACTCCGTTATTCACATGGACAAGAACCAGATCCCGGTAACGGATTGCCCCTGCGAAGGATAAGGGAAACGACCTCTGCAGATCCCGAGCCTCCCGGATCAGGATGTTGACGATCCTGCGGTGCGCCTCCACTCCAACCGTCGAGAATCGGACGGGGAAGTTGAAGTGGTTGCTATAGATGTGAATTAGCTTTGCTCAGTTCGAACAACATTTACTTGTCTGTACGTACCTCACGTCGTCGAGCATCGCCCGGTATGCTGCCTGCACCGCCGTACCCTGCCCATCGATGAAGTGATGGACCCAGGGGACGTCCAGATGATTGGCCAGGACGTAGTCGTAGAGCTGCTGTGCGAGGGATGGCTGACCCGGCAACGTCACTGGGGGTACCAGATTGTACGCGTACCATAGGCTTGCTGACATTGTCTGCGGTGCTCGTGGGTGTAGGTGGTGCTAACGGAAGGCGGACAGGAGAAGATGAACTGGTGGTAAAGATTGCTGTTGTGGGTTATCGGAGTCGCTATGAGTTATTGGTGGCTTGAAGAAGCTCCAAGGGGGGATGGGGGGGGGGGAGGGGGGGCAGGAAGGTATTTATACGGGTAGCGGGCGGCTAGCTGTAGTCAGTTGTTTGCACGATGAATCGTGCGGCGTGGCCTAGTGGTGTTGCGGGTGTGCTATTTGTTCACCATCACAGTCATTTATTGCAAGTTTTTTCGCCATACGCCTTGTTTGTCGATTTCCCATCATTACCTGCGGCACCAACACACTCTTGGACAATTTTTTCCTGGTTAAAAGATGCCCTCAGGATGTTAAGCGTGCGGTTTAATGTAAGAATCTCGTACAATTTTTAACCCTTGATTGCTAGAATGACTATATTTTTCCCCCGTTATCTACGATATTCCGCATGATGTGGCTGCGCGCGACGAGCCACAGCGTTAAAGATAATAATTTTAGCGAGTGCCATTCCAATTACGCAGGTGTCCAGCTGCAAAATGCCTCCCCACCGTGATAGTTCTCCCTCACTCCATTATGGCGGCCACTAGGATATTTTGTCAGAGTTAAACGACAGCTGCCGGCGGTTGGAGAGAGACTTCGGTGGAAAGTAAACCAGCGTTGGTAGCCTCCATCAGTGGCCAAGGGGCGGGCAGTGATGCTTGCTGTCCTAGTAGTCGGCTTCTGCTCTTCCCCTCTTCAAGTTTTCCTCATTTTCATTTTCTTCTGCTTCTTTCGCATTTTTAAATTTTTGTTTTTTAATCGTCCCATCATCACAACCGCCATCATCCAGAGAGACGAGCAAGCCTGCAATCGGCTTACTATCACGTTGTTTGCTTTCTTCCACACATCTCTCCTCTGGCCTCGAGAGGTGGTGGCCCACACACTGCTCGCAAAAAACTCTGCCTCTGGCACTGTCGGGCAGCAATTTCTGACCTTTCCGGCCTTCAAAAATCAGATCCCCCGATGGGCTGTAGAAGAAGGGGTCGAACTGTTCTATCCATCTGAGATAAGTGGGGAGCTTTTCATACGATCCAACCAGCCATCTGCCACTTTCGCCCACGCGATTCCTCGAACATAATCTCAATTCCTCCATAGAAGCGGCCTAGCTACCAAAGTCGTCAAGTCCCTACACCTGTGAAGCTACTCCATCGGAGGATTGGATCTTCTGACCCCTCTCGCCCCAGCGATATGGTCCATATAATCATTTGCCAAGAGAGACACGGCGGCCTGGATCGGCATTTAAGAATTGCACGAATATCAATCCGATTCTAGTGTGCTTCAACCCAAAACTACAAGATCGCTGCAGATATTCAACAGATATCGCAAGGTTCTGATTACTGCGTTTCTGGAAGACTGTGAAACGTTATTGGTGAGCATCTGGCGCAAGGCCGACAGACGGTATTGACCCCTCGGGTGGGGAAATTCCAGCGGCGCCAGTGCAGACCTTGATGGCACCGCTCACTCACCTGGTATTGCGTGCGCACAGGCCTATAGGTGGATTTTGCGCAAGCAACTACGAGGGCTCTGCTGTGGTTTCTGGCTACCAATAACCGGTCACAAATCCTATCGGAAGATGATGGACTATCGTCGCAGTGCCCACGGCACGGCTGTCGAAGCACATTACGCAGCGTCAGGCTCGGTACGGAAATCGATGGTTGCACTCTGGTGTGATGAGAAGAACTTTTGAGATTGAAAGCTTTTGCGTCAATTCATTAAAACCTGAGCATACAAGGGCCCTGATATGTGAACTACAAGTATTGTTGGCACAACAGGGGGACCTTTATTATCCGCTAAGAAACAATTTTCCCCAATCCTCCGAAAACACTATGCCGCAACCTCCGCCGGTCTCAGGGGAAACACTCAAACAGTAAAGGGTAACGACGCTTAGACAAGATCAGAAAACAGTTGGCCACCAGGAAGACCCGTAATACATTGCTAGTGAAAAGTCGCTTCCCGGTCGTAGGGAAAGTGGAGAAACCTTTTTGAAGTGGATCTATAGTTTCATTAGCATAGCTACAGTGTTTAAAGCAAAATACTGACAATCGAACCGATTTACACAACAATTTGACGCCTACATGGTTGCTTGAGTGTAGGCAACCTGATCGTACGAGAGTGTAATGTTGTGCGTTGCAGGATACAGTAAACGCCACAAAGAAGACGGTCTGGAGAAATGCGCAAACTGAAGACGGTTTCACCAGCAGAACATGATTTTCAGGCTTTCTCTTGCACTCAATCAGGCTCATGGTGGGGGGCGTATGAAACCTGTGTAGATTCCGATGCTGTCAAGTTCGATTCGAGGACCAGATCCTCAGCTGGATCTGGTCCCGTCGCGTAAGGGTCCTCGTGAGAGTGATTCCACGCTCTTTCGCAAACGCACGGAGCTGCTTGCTGGTCGTATGAGAGAAGCTGTCGTCGAATATGAGGGGATACTGCGTGACGACACGGCGTGGAAAAGGCCTCCGGTCGGGAACTCCCATCGGAAGGTTGAGCCACAACGAACTCATCGCCATTTGGTATGCGCCTGTCGGTCTTGGCTGCCGCTGATGGTCGGTGTAGTGAAGGGTCTGACGAGTTGCTGACCTCGCCGGGATGGGTGGAAACAATTTGGGGAGCGGTAAGAGGTATGCGCCTGTCGGTTTTGGGTGCCGCAGGTTGTGGGTCTATTGAAGGAAGTCGGCGGAGAGGATGGAAGAATGTTTGATAAGTACTTGATCCGAGTCGGTGTAGCACCATGATGCCGAGCTAGCCCTAATGATCGGCAGCAGTCGACCAGGAGAACGGGGGTTCGCAGCCAACAACGTGCAATCGCGCTCGTATTTGTAGCCGATTTGTGCAGGCGGTGAAAATTACCACGTTGAGGAAATCAACAAACGAATAAACGCAAAAATAGAGGCTTTTATCGCGAGAAGGTCTTTTTGCAGCGGGGCTGGCCGTCTGGGACTACCTCGCCGCTACTTGGTCTGCCAAGCCTTGGCGTACTTACTGACGTGTGGATAAACCGTTGGTACGTGGTTCGACATATTGTGTGCTGTGGTATTGCGGTAACTTTCTCACTCTCCCACACAATTGTCAACACGTTAGTCCATTTAATGCGTACAAGGGATCTCATCCTTTCCCTACTTACGCAACACTTCCCTTCCTTCTCCACCTTTCCCTACTTTACAATGAACTTTCACCTCATCACCACTTCTTTATCCGCGTCCCGTCTTCCTGTCAACTTAAGATCACACCTTACACGCCCTACTAGGAAGCCATGCCTCCTCCAGCATCCAGCGACTTGACCGTGTTGTTGCTACCAAGAACGCCGGCTGACGAAAGCTCGCCACCTTCAGAACCAACGGTGGAGAGGTCCATCGAGTGGGGAGTTACTCCGTCAGCGGGACGGCTGCTACCGCGCAGTCATCTCCGCGCCGAAAGCAGATCGCCCCCAGCTGACGAAGTTCCACAGTTTATCAAGATCAACCAGAGCTGTCGGCAACGAATTCGAGGAGGGAACCCTATGTGGTACGGGGATGGCGCGACGGAGAAACTTCCGGACCACAACTACGCGGTGTGCGATCTATTGGCCTCGAGCGCCGGAACATCCGACAAAGCAGTGACCAAGACGGGGAATTGGATTCCCGAGGGGAGGAAAGGTAAGAATACTATCCAGTCAAAGTAGTTAATTCTTTCGTAGTTCAATATACTGACGACGGTTTCGCAGCGCAGCCTCGTCGTATGACTGCTTTAGGTATTAGCACCCATAGACCGATCGATACGAGAACTGAAGATGCGCAGAATGAGCAAAAGGCGTCGGCCTCCACCGTCGCTCATTTCACATCTGCCGCGGCTGGCATTACCGCCTCCACGGGTGCGAGAAGGCCATTTGGGGCCGGATTTCCTGGGCCAAAATTCCAGCACGGCGCCAAGAGCAAGGTCCAGGAGGATAACCTGGGAAGGTAACTGCTTAATGAGATTTGGCAGCCTACCAGGATGACTAATCGGTCCGAGAATAGACCCACCGACACCGGCGCGATCTGCTGTCGAAGATGCTTGAGATGGCGAAGAAGACTATCCGGAACACAAAACAAGCCTCAAGGGTTTTTCATCTTGCGCAAAACTACTGTCTCTCCATCGACTGCTTCTCGATGTTCTAATTGCTTTTCCATTTCATAATAATGTATTGATTTCCCTCTTTTCCTTACCACTATGCCAGTACTATCAACCGCTTTGCTCGCCATTTTAGTATAGAGTTTTTGACAGGATCTCACGTATTACTTAGCGTAGTTATCAGTGTCGCCGAGAGTCCACCCATTCCATATCTCAGCATTAGTCGTACAGGAGTGCGATATGTAAAATAGTTCGTTTTGTGGCTTCGACTGGTCTGGGGAGGCCAGTGTGCGCAGGTGTTGGGCTGGGACTGACCGCACTCGACGGCATGGATCGGTAAATTGAATGCAAAACGTTAGAAATCAGTGATGACCGTTTTCTTGTGTCCGTTAAAATCGCCAGCTTGGAGTGTGGTAGTACTGAAGAATTTTGATCTTCCGGCAGCCAATACGGCTTGAACTCCCCATCAGACCTGGCTTTGATGCGGAACTATAGGGGCTTCGCTGACACCAAGGATTCCATGTTCCACAGCTGTGTACGGAGGCTAGATATCGTTTGGGAATGCGGTGAGTAGATCTGCAACGGCAATCAGGTATCAATGGCAGTATCCGACTTCGAGACATCGAAGGACAGGTTGGTCTTCGGCATTTTTGATGCTGATACCCGCTGACTTCTCCGCGATGAACTGCCACAGATCATCGTGGTGAACCTTGTACCTTCCATCTTGGGTTGATATCATGATTTAGATCGCCTCGATATTCTCCCGAATACGTCGCCCAGCTTTGATTTTTCTTTAACAGAGGCTGATCCGTCCGGCGATGAGACCGTCACTCCTGTCTACAGTTGTAGCATCGGTGGAATGTTTCTTCTCAACATGACAGTGAACGAGGCTTCGATTCTGCTATGCACGAGGACATTCATCTTAAAGCCGATGGCTGGGTTGAAGGAAAGGATGTAGGAGTGTCCACTTTTGTAGCACCTTGAAGGATATGTTAGAAATACAGTGAGTATTGACGTAATGAAACATATTAAGACAATGATAATATCACAAAGAGACAAGCCACGTAGGAACAAGAGAGTCTTTTTATACCGGCAAGACACATAGCACCCAGCCACGCTCTATTTGCAGTAAAACATAACTGATCTTTGGACAAACGAGTGACATGCAGTTCACAAACATACGACTGACAAACCGTGGAACCAACACGTGATGATCAACGGGATGAATTGCGATGGATTGCGATGGGTGGATGGAGTTGCGGTGGTGCTATGTAGGATTCGGCGGAGGCCTAATTGGCCAGCCATATGGTTTGACCCCAGAGTTCTGTAGGATTGTAATCGACTATCTACAAAGTTCACTGTTGGACCCCAAAATCTCTGAAAGTGGTAATCGATAGAAGTCGCCGACATTCCGTGGCGGCAAAATCCTGAACTGATTGACATCAAACAACCCCTACTGAAAGTACCAGAGGCGTCCGGAAATCACCAACTCAGGGTCGATTATTGACGCGGGCTGTTTGCCAAGAGCTCCCTGACTCTGCTGTCACGTCACTGCAGCAACGTTTCTCGGTTTGCAGTAGCTTCTTTCGGTGTTTTATTTGCATTGCATTTCGACTTACTAGTACTGCGACTTATAAGATTACGACAGATACATCCCCATTTACAACAGCAGAGCTGTCGCCATGTCCTACGATAAAAAGCCCATGGAACAAGTGGTCTGGTCGGCAGCGGCATTGCAGCATGATAGAAAGCTTGCAAGTGTGGCTTGGTTGTACAGTTGATTGAAAAATCTAATACTATGTTGAATAAGTACACGGTTCTCGTCTACAATTCGAATCGGAGTTCAAGCACCCACTTCACCCTCAGCTTTCGCATCCCTCACCTCATGGAACTTCAACGCAAGATACTCGCCTGCTAAGATTGGCTGGAATAGTCTGTCCTCCGTAGGTGGATCCCCCTTCTTCTCCCGCACCCACTCCACCCAGTCACTTCCTAACGGGAGCACATCAACAAAATAGTAGTCCGCCCCGACGGAGAAAAACGGGATCGAGTAGCGTTCCACCCCCTTCGGCAGACGGATAACCCTATGTTTCGCAGAAACATACACGCCATTGGTAAACCTAGCCAGCATATCACCCGCATTGAACACCAGCGCGCCTGGCATCGGCGTGACATCCAGCCACTCACCCGTCTGCACATCCTGAACCTGCAATCCACCCACCTCATCCTGCACCAGCAGTGTGAGCAAGCCCCAGTCCGTATGCTCGCCGCATCCAAGACTTCCCTCGTCGTCTTCGGCGTCGTCGGGACAGATGTAGTGCGTCAACCTCGCGTTGCCGTTTTCGTCGACAAAAAACTCGTCGAAGTGGCCGCTGGGCAGTCCCAGTCCTTCGGCGATGATCTCCGCCACCTCCTTGACGACACCGTGCAGTGCCTCCTGGAATGCCTCGCAGGTACTGCGGAAGTCCGCTAGCTCCGGATGCTGATCCGTGTCGGGCCAGCAACTCCCCTCGCTGTTGAGCTTGCCGATCACGAAGCCCTCGTTAAGGTCCGGGTAGACGCCGCCGATCTCGAGGGTGTACTTCTTGTACGAGTCGTAGCCGGCGCTGTAGTGGGAGAGCTTGGACAGGGCGTTCTTCGTCGCGAGGGGGAGGGAGAAGAAGCGTTTGGCCACCGTGAAAACGTCAGACGTGAGTGCGGGAGTGATCGAGGAGTCGGTAAGTTGAGCGAAGCCGTAGCGAAGGCACGCATCGCGGAGGGAGGCGACGACAACGTCGCGGCGTCCCGTGAGGGATATGACGGGAATGGACATAACTTTAACGATGTGAGGATGCGGGTGAATGTGGGGGAGGGAGTGTCTGGTGGAGCGTTGAGTGGTGTGCTGGGTGATGGGAGTAGTATGCATGTAAACAGCTAAGTCCAAGAATTACCAGAATTCGGAGCCAAGAAACATTGCCGTGCTTTAATTGAGGTGTACCCTGCAACGTTTTACCGATGAAAGTTACACACATATATGGTACCGTAAGAAGCGGGTCCTACAGACCTCACATGTAATCAAAAAACATTATCCGGCCAAAAAACCCTGGGATTTTGGGTGCCCGTCCAATCCGCGGTCCGGGCGTTCATAGACTCCGGACTCGCCTATTTAGAAGGCCTCAAGCAATACCCCAAGCTCGCAGCTCAAGTGCAGTCATTTGCGTCATATTGGTAACCTCGAAATACGCAGCTGCTGACTGATCAGCTCATTCCGACTTAACTGCTCGCGAGAAGATTGACAGTGCGGATGACGGAAGGCAGACGTTGGAAACAAACACGGCCAACAATAGATAGTAACCGTAGGCACGCAATGCGCGAAGCGAAGTGTAAGATGACTGACGAGCACAGCGCTCTCCGAAAATCTACACAGTTACACATGTAGGTTGGTGGTGTGCAGGGGCACCTACCCGGAAGCTTCACCTACGGCCCTGTCGTGATGGATTTTGAAGTTGGTACGTCCTAACGGTTTGCTGCCGGGATTTCTTTTCTGGGTGCAGTACTTATTGGAACCTGCGCAACCTGCGGATAAAGGGCTGGATACAGAAACCTCAGCTCCCTCGCCCTACCGCCTGACAGTAACAGTTCACGTTTTCGCGACTCTAAACTATCGTTAATCCAGAGCATTACGGAATCCACCTGCCTCCGGTTTTATATGCCCACGCATTCACTCTTTCGCCAGTCTCTCCGCTTCTTTGTTCACTCCTCTGTCCGGCCGCCCGTTTCATAATTCCAAACATTATCTCTGCCCCGAAGTAACTGATATTCAGTCGTTTTACGGAAGGGCGAGTCATCACGTATCATTGACTGATCTAAATCCTCTATACATAAGTAGTCAAAGAACTTTCACGGCAAAAAACGGCTTCTCATTCTATTTCCCTAGTAAATACTACGAAATTTGAACGATGGCGTCCCCGCGTGAAAAAAAAAGACACCCTGCGGAAATCCACCTCGAAGAAACAAACAGAAGCCACACATAAATCATCCCACAAACGGAATGAACTCATCGAGCATCCCCAGTAGAGCATCAAACAAATCTCGCGCAGACATCAAAAGGAGCCCAAATAATGGTAAAATTCCCATTTTTAGATCAACCATCACCGTAAACCATTAGGCCCGGAATAGGTACGTCTATTCAAGTTCTTCAATCCTGTTGTGGTGGCCGAACCAGTAGCTGGAAGCGGGCGCGACTTCCTTCTCGTCTGACGTGTCGGCCGCAGTGTCCAAGTTTTCGGCCTGAGTAGAATTCGCATCCTCCCGACACTGGCTGGCTGCCTCAGGTTCGCTTCGGACCCTACGACGATCATCGGCATGTATCTGAGCCTCTAGCAGCCTCGTCCTGTCTGACTCGAAGCTGAACTCGACGCCATCGAGCATTAAACCGCGCAGGATTCGATATTGCTCCGTCTCCACACGGTCCCGGATCCTGTGCAGATCGCTGTCGAGCTCCTGAAGCTTGTTGAAGTGTTCGTGAAGGGTGTACCGACCATCCCTGAACCAAGCACGGATGTATGACACATTATAATGCATCAGAAAATCCAGCTCGTCAGCCAGGTCGAGACTGATCTGCATTAGCCGATCTGCTTGCTCCGAATGGTGTACGAGCATTTCCTCGAAGTCCCCAACCGCTAAGACTATGTGCCCTCGGCGCTGCTCTATGATCCATATGATTCTCTTGTACTCCTCGAGCCAGAACCGTACGTTCGCTTTGGCGGCAACAAGTGCCAGCGCAAAGGAACGCAGATAGGCATCTGACAGGTATGGGTATACCCGTCGCCTGTCTCGGGTAGTTCCGCATTTGAATGACCGTCTCGTCACATCGAGAACTGGCGGAGCAGAATGCGGACGGTGCAACTCTCCTGCAATCGAGTCGAGCATACGGTGGATGACATCACTTGCCGGGTTTTGCGAGATTTCCGTGGTGATTGGCTCCTCCTCTAAAGAGAGTCTCGATGAACACTGCGCCACAGGGTTTAGGCGCACTTCCTGAAGGAACTGGCGATGTGCATGCCCACGCTCTGACTGCAGGAGCGGCGAGGGTTCACCTGAGGAAGATGCAGAGCGCATCGCCGATGCCAGCATCATATCGTCAGTGAAGACTGCTGGTGGCTGCATCCACGAATTACGGTGTGCTCCCACAGTATAAACCTCGTACAGACTCCTCGTACGTCTGAGTTTAGGTTGAGCTGGGTTGTCAGAGATATCTGACGACAATCTCCCACCCGCACGACGATCCGAGAGATGAACTATTCCGACATGGGTGTTCTCCATCCAGTCTTCGTCTGGCCGATAGACAGTGGCCATGAGGAGCTCGGGAGCGTTCTCGGTGGGTTCAGAAACGTCGTCGGTCAGAAACCTTCCCATAATCTCCAGCGTAGGGTCAGAAATGTCGTCGGTGGCATATCGTCGCATCATCTCTATCGCAGGGTCAGAAACATTGTCGGCCAGATACCTTTGCATAATCTCTTGCGTAGGCCATTCGGGTTTCATTCTGGCAGTCGAAGTATTCTGCTGCTGAGAAGATGCAGACTGCGTTTCAGAGCTCGGGTTTAAGAACCTTAGATTGTCGAGCCTCTCTAGCAAGCTCTCGTCGTCTATCAGTTCGTCGTTTTGCCCCTCTTGCGGTACTTGTTCGTCGGTATAATCCCCTGGAATATCTCCCTCTCCGTCAGTCGCAACCGGCGGTAAGAAATTCTTCCAGGACCATCTATCCCACAGCCGCTTGCCGTTGTCGACATCAGTCAAATTCCCGGAGTCGGAATTGCCATCGTTATATGATTTCCCAGCGGTAGAATTGCCATCTTCGCCCGAGTTCCACGTGGTTGATTGGCCATCTCCATTCGATTTTCCAGCGTTTGAATTGCCATCTTCATGCGAGATTCCAATGGTAGAATTGTCATCTGCATTTGATTTGCCAGCGTTGGAATTTTCATCTTCATCCGATTTTCCAGCGTTCCGATTGCCATCTTCGTCCGATTTTCCAGCGTTAGATTTTCCATCCTCTTCCGATTTTCCAGCGTTGGAATTGACATCCTCATCAGGTTTTCCAGCGTCAGAATGTGCATCGTCTTCCGATTTTCCAGCGTTGGAATTATTGTCCTCATCCGTTTTTCCAGCATCAGGATTTGCATCATTCCGGAACAGAATGAAGCTCGGAATGTTTAGGTACGAAAAACTAGGTGATATTATTCGGTTCGCCTGGGTTGTCTGGTTAGGTGGAGCGGCAATACTGGCTTGGACAGGGTCAGGTCCACCACCAAAATCGCTCTTTAAGCTGGCAGGTGTTGTTATCCTCGGAAATAAGCTCGGAATATCAGAGAAGTACGGTGCCTGAACTGTTTCGAAACCTACGGTTGAGGGTCCACCTTCCGTAGTGTTTTGATGCTCGGCGTTCTGACCGTTCAATTTCGACAATGCCTCCTTTCTCATATTAGCCATCCTCTCACGACCTTCAAGCTCTAATCGGTCAAGAGCAGCGAACATCTTCCGCTGGAGCTCTTGCTCGCCGATAGTGTCGAGTGTGTCGAACGAGTCTCGTGGCCGAGGCCGCGGAGCATGTGGCGTAGACGCATCCTGTGGACGTCCATATTGTCTCTCCTGGTCCCTAGAATTTCGATTATCCTGAGCCCTGGAAGACCTGATGTAAGTGTGGTAGTCGTCGTTCATGTAAACGTGGTCGTCGTCGCTCTCTGACCGCAGGGCATTCTGGGAGTTGGCCAAGGATTCTTTTCTCGGTGGGTAGGCAGTCACCGGCAGAGAACTCGGCCCCCCTCGCTCGGGTCCGTTCTGGGCCATAAACGCGGCGCGATATCGGATTGAATGTGAATCGAAAGTTGGTGCAGTGCTAAGTCTTGCTACCGGTGGCAAGGCTAGGTCTGAATCAATTCGAACTTGAAGGCGCCGAGGAGGTTGCGAACTAGAGCCTTGACCGCTTCCCGCTCCTCCTATAGTCTGCCAGTTGGATGGCGCTTGCCATGCATCATCACCACGGAGATGATCGCGGCTCTGTTCCACCATGTATGACCTGTGTTGTTGATGCGTAGCCCTGCGTCCGTGACCGGTAAAGATAGAAGACACTCGGAGTGGGCTACTCGGTTTGCCGTATGTGCCGCGGACAGTGAAGTCGGATCCGGGTACGATTGGTGTCATTCCTGGCGTATTTATCGTGATGACTTGGTAGGTACTATCATCTCTCCAGTCATTGAGGAAGTCGTCTGCTCCCACTCCAATCTCTATCGCCTGATCTTGTCTCTTTTGTTTGCGCCGACCGGCACAGGTCTTGAACCACGCTGCGATGTGAGCGAACACCATCCTTTGCGAGATTTTAGTATCCGACAACACTAAGCGGATGGGTAGGTGAACTCACTTTGCTTTGTAATCTCTCTTCTGTCTGAACGGTGTGATTTATTTCGGCTACTTGGTAGTCGCTTCTGTGATTGACAATCGATGCTGATAATTGTTGCTACAGTGCAGCATTCAGCATTTATTCGGGCAATTTCCATGAGCTATTAGAGGTACTTACATCAATACAACGGGTCGAAGCTTGACTACTCACACTGAGTGACTTTGCCTGGAGATATTGCCACCGGATGTAGTTATTGGCTGGGAGAAAGCCAAGATGCGACGAGAGTTGAGCGAATGAAGTTGCGCGCGATATGGGTGAGGATGGTGGATCGTGTGACGAAACAAATGATACCCACCGGTGAAGGCAGATTAAGTTGCTTGGGGTGCAAGCTGTGAGGCTGCGATTGATCTTCTTAGTCGACCCGGTTGTGGTGGTGGTTTTTAAGGACTGAAATGAGGAAGTGAAAGTGGGTGTGGATGGAAGAAGGTTAAGGATGGAAGGAGGTTAAAGAAGAAAGGTGAGAGAGGAGGGAAGAAGGGAAACGATGGAAAGTTGGTGTGTTTTAAAGGCGAGCGGGATAGAAGGGCGACGGTGCCGCACACACCAACAAATCGATTTGTGGGGCCCCGTTTGAAAGGGCAGACGCCCTGTTTCGCTGAGAGAATAGTGGCCCTCCCCCGTTTGAGAAGCTAGCTGCCCTATGGTTTTCAAATTGTGTCTTCCACATTCCCGGAATTTATCACTCGTGAGATTTGAGTGAGTAACTGAGGTACTTTCCGCCAGCCGAGAGATGAGCTACCGCAGGCCGCTCACCTTCCGTTATATCAGATTGTCTCAGCATATTCCTGCTATTATCGCTTTATCATACCCGAAGTATCTGGAGAGGATTACATCATTTATGTGCTTCAAATATTTACATTCCACCCGGTGCTGTACGAGTGCCAAATCATGTATGACCGGCGTTGTGAAAGTGGAAACCACCCAAGAACCCCTGTGTAGGCTACCAGCATGCCAGATAACGTACACTCTGACTCTTGTATTGACGCGTTACCTCCTGATGCGCTGGCTGCAGTTGCAGCGAAGGATCAGCTCATGGCTCATGATTCCTCATTGCTTGGGTCAAAACCAGCGTAAAGCCGCACAGAAGCTTGTTATTCTTGTTCGAGCGGTTACATATTGTGAGCCTGGTATCTAATTAGACGGCGAATGGCTGTAGTCGGCTGCCAGCCTTGTAGTGGCCTTACAATAGTAATCAAGCGTGGAATGCCAGTATCACGGCATGTGTCTCAATCTAAGTCCGCAGGTCCCCTGCCACCGTCGTTGTCCGGAGATTACGTTTTTGCAGTGGAGTCGGAGATAGTAATTTTAACTTCCCCAGATCAAACTTGCAATGATACAGGTACGGTATCAATTGACTGCTGCATCTTCTCCAGGCTTCCCGCCAAAATCTACAAGAAAAACGAAGCACCTTCACTTGCACAGCAATTGAGGACGAGAGAGTTCAAATGCCAGTTTCATACTAAATGAGTCAAGATGAGAGCAGAAATCAATCCGATCACCCAGGCGAAGCCCCTGAATTCTCACCCGGCCGACCAAAGCACCTTCCATTCATCGCCTACCAGTCGGCGACCACGGTATGAATGAGTTCCCACTGGCGCTTTGCCACGAGTCCGCCGACAACATCAGACATCCATTCCGGGTCGACCGTATCTCTTATGATGACGCGAAACACTTGATGGTGGTTCTGGGCATCCATAATCATTTTATCGACGTGGTCGCATCCCAACACACCTGCACACACGTTAGCGAGAGTCTGGCGGAAATGCGGCAGCAGAAGATGGAAACACACCCGGCACCCGACGGATTAACTTGCTGACTTTGACCGGATGCACCTTGGGGTAAGTGCGCACTGTCATCACCAAGATGCGGCTGAGGATGGCCATGATTGATGTCTAGCTTAGTCAGCAATGGTCTGAAAGAAATGATAACACGTTTGCGGGTTTTCTTTACATTCTTTGTGGAAGGACCGGAGAGGTCGATTGGGTGAATCGGCGAAGACTATTCGGCCGACCGTGGTCACAATCCTGATGTCCGGGTCGCCGTCTCGATCAAAAATTACGAGTGACGCACGTTTCTTGGCAGCAGCACGAACAAAAACTTGGAAACTCCCAACAATCTGACGGTGCACCAGCGGCAACGGAAGCTTGTCCTAACTGCGATCAAATCGATCTCCGAGGACCTGTATCGCGGCGCTACAGTGGGTCTCTAGATTCCGGCTAACCTGTCCGTCATCCTGAGCCTCCATTGCTCCGCATATGGGGGCACGACAACTGGGAATTGTCATTCCTTAGCTACCGTTCCACCGTCACCGCAGTAATTTAGCTTTTCGAACGAGTCCGCTTTGACTCCGTCTTACATTCTTTCTCTCGACATCATTTAGGTTCCGTTGTCATAATTTGAGAAGAATTTACACGTCATACCCCGCGGTTCAAGCAGGAGTATAGGGAATAATTCCATCGTCAAACTACTAAAATCGCATCCTTTATCACCACTGCCTCACTTAGATCCGTCATCGCCGGTTGCTTTTTCTGCTTTGCGCTGTCCTCCATACTCTATTTCAGAGGTGGATGATTGCTAGTACGACTGGCTGTTTGGTAGCTATCTTCCATCTTTGTTTGCTGAATAGGTGACAGCGCAAGCTCTCTGGGCAACGGGATCATGAATGGAAGAGCTCCATGCAGCTACATACGGAATGGCTGATTTGACTCACGTTGACGGGTGTTTGAATGCCGCCCTGATGGGGGCTTGCGTGGTGGTGGCTTTCGAGCGTCTAAATAGACTCATGCATTCTAGACCCTTTACCATAACTATGAACGCTTTAGACTTTTGCCGGAATCACATTCACATTAATTTCGATCCTCGGAGTAGGTCCACCCGGAATCACGTGAATCTTTGTTTTCCACCGGAACAGAGCAAAGAGGTACAACAAACCTCCCACCAACCATCTACCGACCATCCACCTACCACTGTTTCTCAACCTCACCTTCACTTGACCACCGTACATTTTCCCACTCTACACTCCACCCCCCACGAACACCCGCAAACGCCGCTCCTCCAGTAGCAGCTTCGCTCATTCAGCAATTCCCCTCGTTTACAATGACATCCTCCTCTATCTCCAACTTCAAGAAGCTTCTTTTGAAGAAATGCGTTAGTATTCTCTCGAAACGCAAGGAGGAGAGCATTTCCAACGACGCCCTCCTCGACGATGCCTTCGCAGCCGCTCTCGCCGACTTCGAGCGCACCCCGGCTCCTCAGCCCCTTCGTGTCGACATTGGCGAGGTCTTTGAGGAGAGCAACCTGTCTTTTGAGGACTTCATGGCCACTCTGGCAGCCACACCTCCTCCACAAACCGTAGGAAGCTCCACTATCGTCACCCATGATGTCCACCCCCAGGGAACCAAGATGCCAGCCCTCAAACAGATCACCTCGCTAACTCACGCCGCTGCCGTTTTGGACGAGATTGATGACCACCTTACAGTTGACAAAAAGTAATACACCCTCATCATCCCAACTTCCCACACGACAGCTAAGATTGGAGCAGGTACATCGGCAAGCCCTCTAAGCGTGGTTCCACTGCAGTCCCTGCATCAGGAGTTCACGACTATGAAATCGTTCCCCTCTCGCCGACTCCTAAGCTATCGAAGGAGCAGATGAATAAACAATTCCGTCCGAAAGGTGTCGTGGCATCAGACAATGATCAGGTCAACGCTTCAGAGGTCGTCGCTACCGCGCCCAACGGTTCTAATCTCGACGGGGCAGCAATCCTTCCGAATAACAATATGGCCCTTGCGGAAGAGCCGAAAGCAATGCATGCGAACAGCTCTAAAAACAGTTCTGCTGGCCCCTTGTTTGCAGGCAACCGAGTTGAGACTACGAAGACCAGAGTCGCGCTGGGTGTGAGGAACGCTCACGAGGTTAGCAATATCATGGCTGGCAGGATTGATCACGCCAATGCAAACGAAGCTGCCCAGGCGAATGATCCCCTCGGGGCACACAAGAAGGTAGGATTAGCACATTTGGTAGTGCCACTCCTTTGAACCGTCGTCTAATAAACATTAGGACTCTTACAGCTTCTTTCCTCCCCCGTCTAAGCAATCCGAGCTTCACCGTAGCCCCACTGCTTTTCCCATCCGGACCTCCTCCTCTATCGCCACCGCCGGGTTTAAGGGTATTCACAGGCCACCCCCAGCGGACGCTCCGCCATCTGCTGCGATGCTTGGCCGCACTGGAACCTGGACCAACGACCATCAGGCTCGAATGGAAGGTGGCATCGCTCGACGTGCTGCTGCTGAGCGCCACGGTTATCAGAAGCTGATGCGCAAGATGACGGCAGAGTACGAGAAGTCATTGGAGGAGCCGAAGAGAAGCCTGAACCCTTTCAGGCGTCTTCGTCCTCATCAGGATGAGTGATCATTCTGTGGCCGGCGTGGGTACAGACTTCCACCCAACGTTCGACTGCGGACTACTGACGGAAATCACGCAGTACCTTTTTCAACCGACAGAGAACTAGTGGGGGGCCATGGTGACGAGCTTGGCTTTCATGGTTTTTGTGCTCATGTTAGGGGATTTCTGGATGCACCAGATGATACGCACTGGAATGGCGATTTTTCACTTTCAGTTTTGTTCGAGGCAAAGTTTTTTTCTTTTCTCGACGTGTGTTTCTTTTGTCTTTCATGGTCTCTGCTTTCATGAACTCTAATTTCGCGGCCTCTACGTTCATGGCCTCCACTTGAATCACGTTTCTGCTTTCATTCTCTGTACAACTTGCTTAGTCTCTACCTTCATGTCTCTGCTTTCATGGCCTCCACATTCATGGCCTCCACTTTCATCATGTCTCTGCTTTCATTGTCTGTATTACTTTCATGGTCTCTGGTTTCATTCGTCCGTCTTCGAACGTTTCCTTTTGTACAGACACCGTTTCAATGCCATAGGTTCGCAGGAATACTGCTTCTCCCAAACTTGACGTTTGAAATATCACCGCTTATCCAGTTGGTGATCTTTGGCCGCTCATCATCAGCTATCCTGCGGGCCCACAACCGCACTGGCTGTTATGTCTGCCCCCAAGTTTGTAGCTTTTAACGGCCCGTTTGAGAAGGACATGGCTGCTGGGTGGAGCAAGGGTGATGATTCATGTGAGATTTTTGACCATATACGATCAACTCTACGGGAGCACACCAGAAATCATCGAAATTGGTTTTTACCATCAGGGTTGTCAACCATCCGTCCGTACTACAGTCCCTAGTAGACTTTAGTAGCCGTATGGTTGGTCTACTCGCATCTCCAAGATTCCGTAAGACGCTCGTCCATGGATGCAGTTCGATTGATTCCGGGGCTCCCTCGCTTTTATAAAACGTCTCTGCTCGCATGATCGTCCTTCGACATCATCGGCTTCGGATGATAACCTCCTACCGGGCGTGGCGCGGCTTATGCGTTTCGTCAAGCCTATGGAGACAGAGAAAGACAGACAGAAGGAAAGATTAAAGTTAGGATGACAAAATGAAAACGGAGCAAAAGACAGCACGCGTGACAAGCTCATCACTCTTTTTCAAAAACCCAGATCAATGCTGCGTTCACTAATCAATTCCTCCGTCCAGTTTCACGTCTCCTCTCTTTCCACCTCTTCTTCTTTGCAGTCTCCTTGCAGATCTTCTCCCCTGCGCTATATCTTGAGTTCGCCAACTTTTGTAGTTCTACAACAGGTGCTCCGTTGTCTGCTTGGACTTGTTCCACCACCGGCACTGATTGTCGTCTCGCTGCCTAGTCCAATTCAGATGGTTCGTTGTGAGGGAATCTCCTGAATTCAGGCTTCAGCTGGTAGTGTCGGACGGCCAACATCTTCGGGGGTCTCCGTGATCTTCATTCGACTGTCCTCATACTCCCCGGTAGCTTGAACCTCCTATGTGTGACGCGCGCTGCTGACCAGTGACCATTGTATAGCTTCTTTGCATTTGTCGTCTCGTATCCGTGTTTTGCGGTGTGCAACGCATGCCGGCAGAGGTAATTTCCGCCTTCCGTAGTTATGGGTGTGCCGTAACCTTTCCACTCCTCGGGTGTCGGGTTTGGACGCTGCCTGCTTCGCCCATACTTATGTTATCTCATTTCTTCCGATTCCCATATGTATTCGCCGCTGTAGTAATCGTGTCTATCACGCTCGCTGTAGTAAGTTCGTATACGGTGGTTGCCCTTTTGCAACCGGACCGTCCGTTTCAACTTTTCGACGCTAGTTCCGGCCAAAAAATCTCTGTAATAGTCCTGTTGCTCATCGACTCATTTTCTCTGGTATTATTTCTGCTCCTTGGTTTCAAGTTCCCATTGGCTATAGTACGGCATTATCTCTCCGCCTTGCTTGAACGTTCCCAGATGTAAAATTGACTCTATCTTGCTATTAGTGTTTGTAATGTCTCCTAATATCACCCACGCTCCGCAGAATCTTACCTTTCCAGTTTTCCGCATCTTCTTTCGCCACGGTCACCGAGCTTCCCCACCGCCCAACGAAGTTCTGAATCAAAATCAAGGTGTGACGACGGACATCATCCTAGAGAGCTATGTCATGGGCACTCCTCAGATGGTGACGTACGGAGCCGCTGTTGCTATTGTAGCGACGGCGCTCGTCGACACAGTAGTTGCACACCCAGTGACGTTCGCGCCCGACCTTGCCAGGGTCCCCATGCTGCCAGATGACAGACGTCAGCCTTTGCCGGCCTGTGGTCTGCACAGATACCGGTTCTGAAACTGTCGCGGGTGGATCATCCGGCAAGGACAGGTACCTGTAATACTCATAGTCGCCACTGCGTGGTTGGGCGGGCTCAAGAACATCTCCAACCGAAACCTTGCATGGTCCCAGTTATCTGGTATCGAGTGTTGCTTGAGTAATCCGCCCTCTCCCACGACGTCTATGGAAAAAAATATGGCCGGCTCCTCGATGCTTGACCGAAGGGTGACTCTCATGACCGACCAGAAAATAGTGGTGACGGCACCCTTGACGGTCATGACAAGCTTGGTGCCGCAAGTCGCCGTGTTCCTCGGGAGCATATTGTCGATCTCTGAGGCCTCCTCCGTGATGGTGCCGACCTTCCAGTCCTCACCGTTGTCAGACCTACAGGGCGATTACCGAAACGAAGAGCTGCAAGTGACTGGGTCGGAAAAACTTACATGCGTTCGCTTGAGCTACTCATTGTTTAGGACGAAGAAAAAGCCCGATTAGATATCTTTGTGGGACGAAGGAGAAGGAAAGAAGAAGAGACGAGAGTTGGAGTTGTATGAGGATTGTGGGTTCTGAGTTTTTGTTTGGGTTGGAATTTTCCTCGCGGATGTGAGTCGGTTGCAAAGTGTGAAGGAAATCAGAGAGGAGTGGAGAAGGGTATTGAGGTATAGAAGGGTAGGTGTGTTGATGGATTTCTTGCGACGACAGACTGAATGTCAATGGTGTATTGGCATGCTGAGTATTGGCCGACTCATAATCACTAGTTTCCAGGACTGGTGGGTGACAGCGCGTTTTGGAAATGTGACGAGAACCTTGCCCACAAGTGTTGAGTGAAGGAGCGAACCCGATGTAATACTGGTTGTTGAAGGGAGCAGCGGGCCACCGACGACAGCTCATAGAGGGGCCCATTGTTCTCCATCATTCGATCCGAGCCTGGAAAGGACGGTTAAAAAAACGTCTCCATCAGGCCCGTCGAGGTTCCCGACGGATCGGTCAACGTCCGACAGTGGAGGACCGCTGTACAGGTCTAGATAAATAATTCGACTGGGCTTGAGGAATCCGGGTGAAACATCTTTCTCCGGCCGCTGCCAACGAATTTTTTAGTGTCCGAGTCCCTTCCGTGCCCTGTGCGGTATTCGTCCTTATTTCTCCAGCCCGAAAGACTGTATATATTTGGATTTCACCCGATGGTCCAACTCGGATCAGTGTCCGTCGGACAGCTTGCTGTCGCCGACTGCCGTCGACTGGCAAGTTGTCAAATTGTGGAGTCGATCAACTAGACTGGCCGGTCAGAGTCCCACCGAATCCTTTGGAAACAACATCATCGTAACTCCTTCCTCCTTTCATAATCGACTCTTCCACCCGTTTTCTAGACAGCGCTCTTGTAGTATCCTTCCATCCACCTGTGCACCTGTCAGCTTTACGATCACTTTCAACAGCTATCACGATGCTCGTATCAGCCACTATAGCTCCCTTGTCCCCGTGATGAGAAGAGCGATTCCACCAAGGCATCTTCTACTAAATTGACCAACCGCTTGACGGACACGTCTCTGCTGAAGTTCGATCAAAGTTGAGCGACGTGGATGCGAGACAACCGAGGCGATTTGCAACGAAACGTCCATCAAGATGGAAGGTGTGAGGTCCTGCACGAGCTTCTGGCGTTGTTCATCGCCGAGGGCACAGCCTGTATCGGCATCAAAAAGAGTGATCAGCGATGTAAGTCATTTGGTGTCTCGAATAGGGATACTCTCTTTGCCACATGTTTTCCGCTTCTATATAAATTCACGCAATTCTTCAACGAAATATGCAGGTTCCGCACACGGCAGTGGAATTGTAACCCTTAGTTCTGGTTCCGTCGCCACCGCTCCAGATCACGGTTTTTTGAGCGAACCAAAAAAGCCGGGTGTGAAGGGATAATCAGCAAAGCTGTAAATGCTTGCCGGAAGACGGAATAGCGTACCCGATCGAAGGTGTTGAACGATGAAGGTGTCAGTGTGTCGGGACGATAACGGGCTGGGCTGCCGATCTATCTACGCAGTGGGGGATGTTGACTACCCGGGGACGCGGTACATACGAGACTGGCTTCGAGTAAGTTTTGGCTGGCAAGTGTGGGACTACTGCATAGATTGCTTGGCAGATGCGGGAATCCACTTCGGGCTGCATCCGGAAAAAAAAAAAACTCTGATGGGCGCGGGGAGAGGTTTCTACTGTGTGAACTGCACATGGCGCGAAAATCTGATTGGATAGGCACAATACCATCTGACTGCAGGTGTCCGTCGTGGACCACCGCTCTCCATGCCAGACCGCAGCTCGCCATGTCAGGCGACACCTAGCTAGGTGCTGCACAAAGCGTAACCCTCTGACTGGATTGGCACCATACATGGATTAATGGCAGTCCCTGAGTAATCGCAGCTAGCCATGCACTGCGCACAACGGAGGACTCTGACTGAATAGGCACGGTGACTAGATTGATAGCTGTCCGGGTCTGAGATTTGCTACCCGTGTCGCAATGCGGATTCCGGAATAAAGACATACAACCCATACTCTGCTCGCAATATCTAGCACCTGCACGTAATATTGCACATATAGATAAATACTGTAATTGCTATCATGCGGAATCCTCCTCCGAAAGCTTTGAGCTTAGCTCATCGTCTTCTCCTTCTTTTTCAAAACCCTTGTTTTCATCATTCTCCATAGGGTGAAGACCAAGCAGAATAGTACTCCTCGCCGAATCCCCCCCACCCCACCACCCCTTCCTCCTCCTCCTCCTCCTCCTCCTGCTGCTCCCGGATGTCCCTCTCCTCCGGAATGTCTTTCCTGGCATTTAGCATCACCAATGGTCCTAAATCCGGATCGGCAGGAATAGGTTCAGCAAGGAATGCTTCCATTAGAGCAGGGTCGAACTCGCGAGTAGAGGTCGTGTGCGCCACTGGTACCCGATCATCCTCATCGGTAGCAGACCTGATCTCGATCTTCAGCGCGTTGCGTATCGTCATGACAGCCCTTTCCTGCATCTGATGATCGAGAGAGTTCCAGGAACACATGGCATTACTGTATATGACTACAAGAACGTTAGCGATGCTCTTGGAATATGAAAGCATACTTACGGCCATCATTTTTCAGACTGAAAAAATAACACCACCCTGCTGAACTATTCTTGGTAACCTTGCCAGTCTTCGCCGATGGCCTCGATGGGGGCGGATCTCCCCCGGACTTCCGCCACTCCTGTAATGCGTGGTGCAGGGCTGTCACCACGTACACGATCGACGAGGGAGTTTGCTTCTCAATTAACCAGTCGTGATGTCCCGCATTATGAATACGGGACTTGTTGAAGAAGTGGAGATGGATGAAACGCAGAATTTGACTCGCAAAAAACGGGGTTACTCGCCGCTACAAGACGTCTTAGACAATCTAAAGGCAATGACGGATACACCGGTAACGACACAGGCTTGGAGCACGTACCTCAAGCGGCATCCCGCAGTCACCATCTGTGTATATGACTGCAGCATCACGAAGCAATTCATTGATAACCTCCAGACGCTAGACAGCACTTGTATGGCCGTTCAAACCATACGAATCCGCAATGTTGTTTCGCGCAGTTGAGATCCAGCTCGACGGCATTCTGTAATAGCCACTCTTGATCTGTACCGCCGCGTACGACATGGTCTTAGCAAGTAGAATAATTCTCTCAACGCATCCCGGGACAGGAGATCACTATACATATGCCAAGTTCCCTAGTTTATCGGGATCGAAGTCAACGTTCAAGCCTGTTCGTAGGTAGGCTTCCGGCCACAGCTTGGCGACAATCTAAAGACCGGTTATGTTAGCGAAATAAAGGAACACAATAAATCTCATTCGGTACCAACCCGGATTATCTCAACACTTGCAGAGATAAAAGGTGTTTCTCGATGGCAATGCCGTTCGCGGAGATGCTTCACCGAGGTTGCCCCAGTAGTAGTACTCGTTCGTTTGGCGATCATTTTCGGAGCGACCTTGTGCGTTGGGAAGGGCGTCTCTTGCCCGCTACAACAGCCGAGAGAGCCGGTTGGGAACGAGGGGGGGGGGGCGGGGAACAATGACGAGGTGGCGAACCGGGGTGAGGTTGTCAATGAGGGTGAGGTGTGGAATGAGGGTGAAGTGGATGCCGGGGACGTCGTTTGGGGGCAGCCGTCTGAATCTTCTCCACCGCCTGCGATTTGGCAGCTCGCTTAAGCGTCGACAGGATCGATGCGTGGATATCGCGAGCTCGAAGTGTCGTTGTGTGGATGTGTGGGGTTATGAGTGTGTGGATGTGGGGAGGACCGAAGGTGGTTTGAGGTGGAGTAAAGAGTACAGAGCGAAGATGCCAGTGGCCTTATATATCATTTTTAGCCTCCGTTCAGAGAGTACGCACATATGAGGTCAGACCCACCAGATGGTTTGTAGTGGCGAGTGCTGATCAACCCGGAGAACACCTCACCTGGCTACGCGTTTGTCAAAGTTTAGTCGCCTATCAGTCTAAAAACTCTAGAGATCTTCGTTAGCGACGATAGGTTCTTATTCTGTATCAAATACAATATCATCTGTCTACTCAAATATTTTACCACGATCTAGGCACGCGGGAGAAAAACAGAGCGATCCGAACCAAATATATCAACTGCCGTCTCCACAGCAGTAAGTGGAACTTCCTTGGGCGAATCCAGTGGTCCGTCTATGAGCGGTGGTCGTTCCTTAGACGAATGCAATACTCAGTCCAAGGCAGTGAGAGAGTACTGAGTCCACGGCAATAGTATCGAATGCATGAACGCGGGAGGGGGTTCCTAGGCGAATCCAGTAGATAGGCCATACCAGTGAATTGAGTAGAAAGGGAGGCTCTGGCAGCGAATCCAGTGATAAGGGAAGACATAACAGCAAATCCAGTAGAGGGCCCTGGCAGCGAGTCCAGCAGAGAGCGTTTGGGAACGAATCTGTGGAGAGGCAGAGAGGACTTGGGAGCGAATCCAGTACAGAGCCCTGGCAGCGAATCCAGTGGAGAGGTAGACAGGCCATGGAGGAAATCTAGTAAACAGGTCATGGCAGCGAATCCAGCAGAGATGCCCTGGCACTGAATTGGCGGGTGAGGACTTGAAACGAATTCAGTGGTGAGGCCTTGGGAGCGAATCCAGCAGAGAGGCTTTGGGAGAGAAGCCACTACAGAGGCCGTCGGAGGGCATCCAGTGGTGGGGCCTTGGGAGCGAATCAAGTACAGAGGTAGAGAGGCCATGGAAGTGAATCCAACAGAGAGGCCTTGGGAGAGAATCCAGTCGAGACGCCTGGGAGCGAATCCACTACAGAGGCCTTCGGAGGGCATCCAGTGGTGGGGCCTTGGGAGCGAATCCAGTACAGAGGTAGAGAGACCATGGCAGCGAAACCAGCAGAGAGGCGTTGGGGGCGAATCGAGTACAGAGCCCTGGTAGCGAATCCAGTGGAGGGCCCTGGGAGTGAATCCTGTAATTGGAAGAGAAGGCTGTTTCCGTAGCCGGACGAGAAGGACGAGTTGAACGATCAGGACGAGCAGTACGACAAGTGATGTTTTTTCGCAGCCGGACGAGAAGGTCGAGGAGATTTTTGGTTTTTTGGGCGAATTTAGTACTGGGTCCACGTTAGTGACAGGTCAATTCCACTATGTTGGAAGCCACGGAGTTTCACTCGAACGGATGATGGTTTTTGAGAGTTGCCTTTTCATTGCGGCTATCCACCGGCTCTTATGTCCTACTGTCCTCTCCTGCCGGCGACTACCTGCCGGCACCATCTGCCTTCGCCGCCGTTGACCACTCACACCTCGGTATAGTGCTGGTATTTCAATACACTAGAGCCAGAGGTGCATCACTTAGTCGAATCCAGTGCTGCATTCATCGTCCATGGTAGCGAGAGGGCAGTTCCAGTGCCGATCCTAGAACGACAGTGTGTATGCGGCGGATGCAGGCGAGTGCGGTTAAGTAGCTGTTCTGGAGCGAGGACATTCGTTCGTCGGCAGGACGAGAAGGTCAAGGAGAATGAGTGGGACGAGCATCACGACTAGCTCGAGGATGATGGGTCAGAAGGGTAGGACGAGGAGGACGATTATAAGGTGGAGAATATGTCCGCAAAAGCGCGACCTGGGCTAGGTGCAGTGCGATGAGAAAATTCGCCGTCAATACGGGTAGGACCCGTAGGACGAGTAGGACGGCTAAGACAATAGGACAGTGGGAACGAGCAGTCACTTGGGTCGAGTGGGACGAGTGGGACGAGTGGGACGAGTGGGACGAGTGGGACGAGTGGGACGAGTGGGACGAGTGGGACGAGGACGACGATGAGGCCGCTCAGACTCTTTCGGTGATCGGGCGAACTTGGCGAGGATGTTGATTCTGCAGCAGGACGAGTGACACGAGCCGGACGCGTAGGACGAGCAATACATCTGGGACGAGAGAGAAGAGTGGCACGGCCAGGACGAGCAGCAGTGGGTGTCGATGGCATCCCACTCGGTGATTAGACGGAGTAAAACACATTTGGCAAATATTGGTTTCTAGGGAGAAAACAGTAACTCTTTCTGCAGCTGGACAGCAAGGGCGAGCACAATGCGGTGACTTCTTCCGCGGTAGGGCAAGTAGAAGGAGGAAGGCGAGGAGGGCAGCTATACCAGGAGGAGCTTGGCGACGAGGAGGAGGGTCTCAACGGCTTCAACTCGATGTAGGGGCGGGATGCGTTATTATGTCTGCGCGGGTAGAATGAGTAGCAGTGGGCAAAGAATTTATCCAAGGTCCTGCCAGCGGAGTATTCATTCTGCTGGGTGACATCAGCATGGCGTGTTTCAAAGCTTAACCGCCAACTATCCATAAGTGTCAAGAACCATATTCATATCTCACTCGGAATACCATACTACCTATTACCTCACATCACATATTGTACCAAAGTCATGTCGACGGCCGGTTCCTTCGATCTATTGTGTAGGTACTGTTTTCGCAGATTCAAACGACTAGTATGGCTTCACAAACACATTGAAAAACTGCATCCGGAATACCAGGAACAACCCAACCCAGCGCGAAAGCGCGAAGCCGACAGGGAGCACCCCGGAGCCCTCCCCGCAAAACACCCAGACCGTACCGCCCACACCGTCCTCCCGAATAGCAGTTCCATCGCCGAAGCGGGCCCCACTGCCAACGCGTACAGCGATGCCATAGGACCTGAAAACGAACCCACAAACAAACCAGAAAACCCCCACCTCACGCATACGTACCCAAATGCATGCCTTCCGTGTGATTACGTCGGATAGCTAGGGGAATGCATCACGGCCAACCCCAAACGAGGACGAATTCGAAGTTTGCAGAGACGTTGATAACTGGAAAGGCCAGCGCGAAGGTTATCGACAGGTGGCTAAAGGAAAGAGGTGGTATCAAGGAGGAGATAAGGGCTCCTTGAGATCCAATTAGCGTCCACGGCAGATCATCGATCAAATGGAGGACACACTCGGTACAAACGTGTGGCGGGAAAGCCGGCTGGACAATATGGTTTGAAATGCGCAGCATGCCAAAGAGCCGATCCGATTCTGGCACCGTGACATTATCGAGTGCGGGAAATGGCTTCTCTGACAGCCAGCGTTGCCCAGGACCTTTCATACGCTCCTGAGCAGCAGTTCGAGGGTGATGGACACGGTAGTAATGGAAGCCGTGTCTACAGTGAGATGTATACGGCCGATTGGTGGTGGGAACAGCAGGTGCGAGCGCTTTTCCGTTGATTGCTATTTACGTAGACTTGGGCGATGCTGAATTTCATATAGAACACTCTAGACGACGGTGACACGGTCGTACTAATGGTATTTTTGTCCAACGCAAAACACCTGACCAACTTCTCCGGTGACAAGAAGGTGTGGCCGGTACATATGACGGTCGGGAATTTGTCCTTCACCATCAGGATGGCACCAGGCCAACCCGGCATCCTCTTGATCACTCTCCTCTCACTCCCGGTTAAGATGCGCGAAGTTCCCACCGGGCAATACAATGAGCAGAAGGAACACAACCGGATGATGCAGCAACACGTCTTGCGCCACATCCAAGAGCTACTAATAGATGCGGACCGCCGCACTTTCTATGCACAGTGTGCTGAGTGCTACTTCGGGCATTATGTTGCATCGCTGGACGGCTGGATTGCCGACTACCCAGAGCATCGAGATCTCTATAACATCAGCAACGGCTTTTGTCACTGGTGTGAATGCCCACGTGGGGAAATTTGTGACTATCTTGTCAACCCTCATGGACGCCGGGACCGTACCATTGAAAGGGCGCTGAATGACATAAACACCCTGGAGGCAAGGGAAGTCTCACGCACCACAACGTCCACCCGGGTTCCAACTTACTATGGCTTCGCGACTGCATGATTAGCGACCTACCGAAGCCCGATTTGCCGCATACGATGCAACTGGGGATGTTGATGCACCTCCTTGGATGGTTGCAGGACTTCCTCAAGCAGAATAAACGTGGCGAACGGTTTAACAATATTTGGCCCTCAGTCGCTGTCACACCCTTAAACGTCTTTTTCAGCAATTACAAGCCACCAAGAAGTTGACACTCCAAGACAAAGAGCACCGGAGGGCATTGCTCGAGATACGGGACACCGCGATGGAAGGTAGGACGGGCGCCGAGCGGCAGACATTGAACAAGGAATGCAAGACCCTAATCAACACGGCGTTGGTTAAATATCACGAGGAGGCAAGTGATTTCAACTTTCCAAAGATCCACCAGCTTCTTCATTTCGAGGAGCAGATACGCCGATACGGGACACTCAAGCAATGGTCTACCTGAGGCCGGTGAGCGCTCCCACCGGCCCAACTAATGGATCCGTACTACAAGTCGAATCGCTCTGGGAACATCTACAAACAGATAATTGAGGACTACCAGAGGATCGATGCTTTCGCAATACGCAGGCTTAACAAGGCCACTCAGAGTGGTGACAATCCCGCAGATGATGTGGACACGGTGGAAGAATCCCTAGTCGGGGTGAGGTTCACTTCCGATCAGGCCTACGTTGGGAAGTTTAGAATCGACATCTTCGGTGCTATGCTCGTATCTGTGCATGGCGACAACCTTCAGAACGAGCTACTTCTTGCGACCATCTCTTTCCTCCGTCTCCAGCTGGTCAACATCGATCCCGACGACCTCCGGCAGTGCACGTTAAACATCCATCACAGCGTCCAGGTCCCCGTTACCAACATCAACGAGGTGAATGTGATCCAGCATATTCGATGCACAGGCGAAACAACGTGGCATGGACAGCCAGCACGTTACGACTGGGTATGGGTCGAGACTGAGAACCCACCGAACGATCAACAATCATCGTACGGCGCGCTCCATGGACACCTCCCATACCCTCTTTTAATGTTCTTCAAGCTTTCTGTCAATGGAAAAACCTTTCTGTGTGCATTCGTGGAAAAAACCACACCAAAGTCAGGCCATGTGCCCGAAAGCGCGTCTGGAATGGTGAGGGTAACAAAGCCCACAACGGAAAGTGACTACACGGTGATAAGCGGGAGGAACATCGCTGGAGCAGCACATCTCATCCCCGAGGAAGCGGATAGCTCAGGGGCGAGGCTTGGAAGAGCCCTGGGAACGGGCCAGTCAGTGGCGGTGCCGAGGAATAGTTTTGGGAACCGGCCAGTCAAAGCCGATGCTGGGGAGTAGCCGAGAGAACGGGCCGGCCAAGGGCGAGGCAGGGCGATTCTGGAGAAGAGCTATGGGATCGGGAAAGTCAAGAGCGAGGTAGGGGAAGAGTCACGGAGAGGCCAGTCGAGGCTGTCGAAGAGTCCAGAGAGCACAGCGAGGCCTGAAAGGAGTCTAGGGATCCATTCGAGGCCGGGAAAGAGTTGTGGAGCAAGAGCGATGCTGGGCAAGAGTCAAGGGAACAGGCCGGTCAAGGGCCAGGCTGGGGAAGAGTTGAGAGAACAGTTCGAGGTCGCGGAAGGGCTCAGGGAGAGAGGGCGAGGCAGGGGAAGAGGTGGGGGAGCATTTCAAGGTCGCGCAAAAGCCCCGGGAGCGGGGGCGAGCCTGGGGCAGAGTTGGGGAAACGGGCAAGTCAAGGGTGAGGCAGGGCGAGGCCGTGGAAGAGTTGAGAGCACATTTCGAGGTCGCGGAAAAGCCAAACGAGACGGCACGCCACAGTTGTGGGTTCACGGAAGAGTGAGGGAGTGGGCCAGTCGAGGGTAAGAACGGCGAAAAGGTGACGGCACGAAGGATTTGTGGGAGTGCGCACGAGTCCATGGGCCGGAAGACATGACGGCACGGCAGAGATGATGGCATGGAGGAGTTGTGGGAGCAGGAAGGAGTTATGGGAGCACGGAAGAGTTGTGGGTGCGAGGAAGAGTGGGTCAGTCGATGGGTCGGAAAGGGTGACGTTACGGAAGAAGTGACGGCACGGACAAGTGGTAGCAGCGGAAAAGGTATCGGAACAAGTCTATGCCACGAACGGGTCAAGGAACGGAAGGGCTGAGTCAATAGCCTAGTCGAGGGAGCGTAACAAACGACGGAGCGGAAGAGTCGTGGAGCGGAAGAGTTCTGGGAGTACCGACAAGTGGATGGGTCGGAAAAGGTGACGGTACGGAAGCTTCGACGAGCAGGGACGGGTTGTGGGAGCACGGAGGAGTTGTGGGAGCACGGACGGGTCCACAGGCCGGAAGATGTGATGGTGGGGAAGAGTTTTGGGAACACGGAATACTGAGGTAGCACGAACAGTTGACGGCACGGAAGAGTGTGGGAGTATGGACGAGTGAGGGAGTGACCCACTCGAGGGGTAGCGAGCAGAAGAGGGCGAGTTAAGGGCAAGTGCGGTGAAGAGGTGACGACATGGAGAGATGTGGGAGCACGGAACAGTTGTGGGAGTCGGCTAGTCGAGGGCGAGGAAGCGGAGCAATAGTGGGAGCTCGGAAGAGGGAGGGAGCGGACGGGGTGTATGGACGGGGCGGATACTGCGGTTGTGTAGATAGGCCCCCTAATATCAACGAAACTACAAGAGGTTCGAATGCTCACCCGACATCGTGCCCATGGAATATCACTCAGGATAGTGTGGAACGCCCTACCGCCGTGTCTTATGCACACACCGAACGAAACTACAAGAGGTTCGAATGTCCACCCTACATCGGGCCCATGGAATATCACTCAAGATAGTGTGGAACGCCCTACCGCCGTGTCCTATGCACACACCGCACTCACCGTGGCTCTCCATAAATACGCAGTCGACTACCTAATGAAGTAGATTTCTTTTTCCTGATGATTGTTCAAACACAGCCCCACCTACTCCTCTCTTCACCCCTCTACACCAGTTCACATCCCCCCACAATCCCATCTTCACAACACCCCGAGACTTCTCTGACTACTATCGCTACCCATCACTGTCCGTTTCATTCAATCCTTCTTCCTCGGCCTTGTCTCCAAATCATGTCCACCCCCGTCCCTCCTTCAACCATGACCTTCTCTCGCAGCAAACACACAAACACCCCACCATTAAAACCAATCTCGAGGTGCCCCATCGTTTGATCTTTGAGCAGGAGCTGTCGCGTCTCCTTTCGGTCGGCGAAGAAGAAGACACTCCGACAGTCGGGTTCGGCGCGCGAAGTAAGTATCCCAATGCGTCACCTACGGCCTGTAAAGGCAGAAAACTCCTCAAAACTTCTCTATGCCCCCTCCCTCCCTCCCTCCCAATGTTGTTTCTCTTGGCCATCGCAGTTCATAACTCTAACCTATTTTCAGAGACCGGCAACGCTCCTCGCTTCCGTGTCGAGTTGAAGCGGGTCATCCCACAAGACAGGCGGAACCCCGGTCCGTCTAAGGAGTTGGTCGTGTACCTGGGTAGAAATTACAAGGGAACGAAGGACTGCATCTTCCGATTCGACTCAGACCCGGAGTCTGGCACCGAGTTCCTTCCCGCGGTTGAGGTGGTTCATCCGGACGACATGTTAGCCGAGAAGGACGGCAATGAGCACAAGGATAATAATGAGCCCGAGGATAACAAGGAGCACCAGAAGGAGAAGCATGAGCACGACGTGCCTGAGGAGGCTGCGCCGGGCCACACCGACGACGATACGGGTGATAATGCCCACGACGATCCGGGCTCGGCTGAGGCTCCCGGCGGCGGGCGCGACTCTGGAGATGACGATGAGGCGACCTCGGAGATGGACAATGAGGAGGTGTCGGGTTCGGATTCGGAGTCGACCGAGAGCGACGAAGAGGAATCTCTTCTGGAAGAGGAGGAGCGGTGTGGTGTACGGGGGAACAGGAATACCGAGATAGCGGACTCGGATTCTGAGCCGACCGAGAGAGACGAAGAGGCTGCTATCCTGAAAGAGGAGGAATAGTTCCGTCAACTGTGGAACAGGAATGCGAAATGCAGGAGGATATTCAACATGTTTGCAGGATTGGACACGGAGTACCACCTCCTCCCCGATCGATTTACATGAATGAAAACTAATAGATTTTAGCCCCGTCAACGCCCAGCAGAGCACCCCGTCGTTTGATCCCAGTCAATATGGTGGGAACTGCTCGGACTGTGGTGCGATAGACGAAGACGACACGGAACGGGGGGGAGACAACAGGGATGAAGATGTAGATGACACGGAGGAAAAGGTAGACAAGGAGGAAGAGGAAGAGCGGTCGGCTCCCACCGACCCAGAGCCTTCTGGTGGCTATAGCGAGGGAGAAGGGTCTCCACGCAGCCCTGTCCAGTTCGACAAAGAGGCTCTCAATGCGGAGTGGGCGGTTCATCCGGACGACACTGTTGCTGAGACCCACGAAACTGAGAACAGCGATTCTCGCCCGGTGGAGTCTGTCAACGTCTGTAGCGACGAGGAGGGATATAGCAACATGACGGAGGACATCGATAGCCAAGCCACGGAGAGCGACGAGGTGCACTCGGAGAGTTCCATCACTAAGCCAGCGACGAAGCCACCATTCCCGCGAAGCGTCCCGCCTCCGACCCCAAACCGTCTACCGGCCCCACTCGCAAGATGCTTGGCATTGCTGAAGCTCTTTCGCGTGTCAAGAAGTCCATGAAAGGAAGACTTCTTTCAAGAAGTAGACCATGAGACGCCCTGAGGGAAACGCGAACGACCTTTACCGCACCGTTGGCACCTCTTCAGCGATTTTCTTCAGTGGATACTCATGGGTTGTATCTTATTCTTTTTTTATCCGTCGATCTTTTCACGGTTTTTTTTGCTGCACAGTCTGTGGATACTCGTCGGATTGGTTCTATGGCATTCTTTTCGGTCAATGCTTTCAAGACTTCTTTTTTGGATACATTGTTTGTCAATGCTCATGCGGGTGGTTCAAAGGAATTCTTTTCGGTGGATCTTTTCACGGTTTTTTTTTGGTACATTGTTCGGGGAAACTCATCGGGTTCATTGTTAGTCTTTTCGGTGGATCTATTTATTTTTTCTTACACTGCTTGTCGGTACTCACCAAGCTGTTTCTGAGGCATTCTTGTCGGTGGATATTTCTGTGTTCTTCTACATTGTTCGTCGAGATTGACTGCTGGTTTGTTACATGCATGCACTCTTGTGGGCGTTTGGTTTGGGCGGACTGGCTGGATTCTAGAGGGGAGATGATGGGTTTGAAATGTTGTTAATTTTCTGATCTCTTGCAGCTCAATTCAGCATCCTTCAGGTCGCCAGCTAATAAACCTTCGCGTCAATTTCTAACGGGATGCCATCATTTCAAACCGTGAGGACGCCGAAGTGAACGATTATCGCATACGTAATGTAGCCCGATTTTCTGAGCCACCTCGTTTTTGTCGGCACTAATTATTGTTTGAAAATAGCGCTAGCATGACACTAATGTTTTTTTGTTTTTTGTTTCTGTCTTTTTTTTTTTTTTTTTGGTTTGCGGGGGGAGGAGGAGACGAAGCCACAGTCACGAAAAGCATCTCAAAATTTACGAACGCTACTGCTCTAACGAGCCCAAGCTACCCTGCACCCATAACCGCAGTGCCTCAATTGGCGAAGTTCGTTTCCCTGCAGCTTGGACGTTGCGCGTCAAGTCGCAACAGCACAAACGCATTAGGCGCGGATTACGTAAGGTTCGGTCAGCAGAAGTTCCAAGGTACGAAGTCCAGCGGTGATAGTTTATCAATCGAATTTTTTCAAGTCAGTCAGCTGGGAATTGCATAATAGCCATTGTAAAGCTCCTGGAGCCCGCTGGGGATAGACCTCACCTCGCCCGGTACAGTATATCCGGTAGCTCGAGGTATTCGGGGGCTGGTCGTGAATGGTGTTGCATTTCACCCAATTCTATTTTTTGCTTCGTCGATAGGCAAACGAATTTTAACTTCTGTGACAATCGAGACCTGTTTGCTTTGACGTCCAGCGCCGTCATGCCTGACTGGTTGATCTGCCTGTCGATCAGCAGTCCTATCGTGGATGGTGCGCAGCGTGTTGCATTTTACTCAATTTTATTTTATTTTTCGTCCATAGGCAAACGACTTGGTCTTCCGTGACAGTCGCGACCTGTTTGTTTTGACGTGCAGCGCCGTCATGCCTTATCGATCGATGTGCCTGTCGATCCGCAGTCTTGTCGGGTGCACCGAGATCGGGGAGCAACAGTGGCAGTTGGTGCGGATCTGAGAGCTAGTTTTGTCTCTGCAGAGCATCAATTATTTACACAGCTGGCAGATGCGTGCATCACTTCCGACCATCGCTCTTATCATTCATGGCCTCGCATGTGTCAGCCGTGCGAAGCTCTGTATTTATCTCTTATCAGCAGGTTTGATCGGTCCCGATGCAAAAGTCTCGCAATTATCAACCCAGATCGTGACAGTTCAATGTACAATCGAGATTTGAGACTCCGGCAGTAGGGGTGCGGTATGACGTCATTTATCGTTGGAGTCGTTGTTTTTCCGTCGCTTCTGGATGAAGCGACCACTTCGCAACAGAAAGGCAGCTGGTTTAAGAGTGAACGGCCATTGTTCGCGTCATCGTTAGCGCTTGCGTCCTCCTATGTCAGGCAACCACTCCCGGTCTCTTGTAATCACATCACGCCATCCACCCTAGCTCCCACCCTCCCCGTTCACTCCCTCCCTTCCCACTTTTCTCTCCACCCCCGAACACCGAACTCATTCTCACCAACCCCCCCTTCCACTCTCACCGCAACCTCTTAGCACCACAGATACAAGACACAAACCGAACTGTCCAATCCAAGACCACGAATCCAGGATGAAAGTTAAGGTTTTAGGTCACAACTCCGGCCCGAATGAAGCGGAGGACCTCGCTCGCCGCGAGCAGCTCCATGCGGAGCTGCGCGATTGGCAGGTATCTTTGGACGAGACGCACCGTCACCTCAATGCCCAGATCGAGGCATGGAAGGCGTCTTTGGTAAGCCACTACTCTTCACGTTGGACGGATCCCACCGTTCACGAATCCGGGCTCCGGAAAACGATTGCATGCTTGGCTAACTATGCCATAGGAGATGGATCACGCGCTCATCGCAGCCGAAGCCGCTGGTTCGTCTGGTATTAGCGCCGTCGCCGCTGGATCCAGCTTTGTTCCGCTCGAGGGATCCCACCATTCCGCTGACTCCCTTGACGCCGCTGTCTCCGCTATGCTCGCTATCTTCGCCGTCCCCGCTGACTCCGCTCCGACCGCTAAGAGCGCTGGTGTTGCCCACGCGCAGATGGTATAACCTCATTGTGGCTTCACGAGTAAGAGCGCAATCACTGACATCGCCTGTAAATAGTCCCAGGCAGACGCTACCGCCAACGCTACCGCCAACGCTACCATCAACGCTGCCGATAATGTGAGTACTCCCCACCCACACCGACGATGGAGAAGGCGACGACGACTGACAAGCCGCAGCACCACAAGAATCAGCGCATGGCCAAGCGTACCGGCAAGAACCACCACATGGCCAAGCTTACCGGCATGCTCAAGCGAAAGCGTAGCGCCTCGGACGCGTCGTAATTCGTCAATCACTTTGAAGCCTTGAAGGCAAGTTGTCATGGCGATAGATACTACATAACATACTTGTCTTGTCTCTTGAGGCTGTTGTTGTGGAATCTGGATTGCTGGATTTATTCTTTGTTCTTTGTTCTACATTTGCTGTCGATCTGGGGAACTCATGGCTGCGAAATAAACACTGTTTCGGGGGTATAGAATGCTGAATGGTGAACCCATGGAGTCGACGACAGCTAGGTACTGCCAGTCTGCTACTGAAATGTGAAAACTCGTCTCATGGAGCGAGTAGTATCGCCACTGTATTGCCAATCATGCCTACTGCGTCAATCGCATTATGACGAGTTTGAATCAGCAGACGAGAACACTATGTTGACGAAATAAATCCTGCGGTGATGTTTTTTTTTGGTTTCATCACCGCTGGTAATTCCATTGCGCGAGTCTTCATCCAAGACTGCACTCTATTGCCATTCCTTCACAGTGTAAAACGCATCTTCTATGACCAAACATTACCTCGACCCTGCAGAGATGGACGGTGCCGTACCCCTGCAGAGGCAGCCTCTATTGAATAGAATCAAGATTCATTCCACGATCTCCATCCCGCATCGTAACGCTATCGGAATCAACATCCCCCCTGGAGGTTATGCGTGCAGAATCTAGACGATGAGCCTGAGCAGGAGACATTCAACCTTCACCATCGTACCGGAGCACCTAGTCACGCATAGCCATGAGCCACTCAATACACATAGGACAAACCCCCTCAGGATGCACACATCGCAAAAATGTCATGTCTTGGTAAACCCGAGTGACAGTAAGTGTTTTCAACCTTACCGAGTGACCTCATGTGTTTGGTTTTCGAAAAGAGCATCGAGTCAATCAAAAAAACCCATTGGAGGGCAAACAAAAAAGGAGGAACACAGAGTACAAGAAAGAATACATTCAATTCACCCCCCGATACCTCATGATCCCTAATGCTATAATAAAGTCTCTTCCGAAAAGTCAGGAACACATGCCCCGACTACGCCGTACTTCATACCAGTAAAAAAATATTCCACAAGGAAAATTAACAACGCTTGTGTCAAGCGGTGGAAAGAGAGCGCACGCCACTGAAAAAAAACATCAATGTGCATGCAGAGCAGTATAAGGATAAAGTTAATGAGCAGGAAGCCTGGCACCAAGGCCGGCAGCGTCCGCCGATAATGCATCAACAAAGGAAAGAGAAGGAAAAATAGCAATAATGGTAGCTTTCCATCATAAAATCAATAGACGACATGAATGTAGGCATTCAGTGTGACAATGAAAGCATATCGGTGACCGCCGACCAACAGTTCTAGAACTGATTGTGAGTCGGCGGATAGTCCTCAGTCTCGCTCGAAGTATCTCCGAAGTTCGACGATTCGATGGAGGCTCGCGAGGCTATGGTGGTTTCTCCATCTGTAGGATCACGTAGTGGGAACATGAAACACATGATCATATACCAGAAAAATCCACCCGTAAGTCCTAAAGCTGATTTTAGTTGCTATTCTCAAGAAAGGACGTAAGGGGGGGGGGTGGGGGGGGTGGATCGCACCGACGATGAATGTCAACTGGAAAACGTAATGCCAAACATATGCTCTATCGTCGACATCGACCACATGCGCGAGAAATCCAGCTGCTCAAGTAATCAGCAAACATCCATGATGATGGAAGTGTGGAGGTATTTACGGATAGACGGCCACATGGCAAGAAACCAAGCCATGAAGGCACGGTAGTTGAAACCGTAACAGTACCAATAACGACTGTTTGCCATATACAACTCCTCAACATTGTAACTAGCCTTGCGCACCCACCAGAAGTCGGCAATGAGAATACCAGCGAGCGGTGCGGTAAAGGTACCGAATGCACTCATGACCACGATGAACGTTGCAGGCGAGCGAACCAATCTCCATGGGCTGGTAGCGATTCCCAGAATAACAATGACGACTGCCCCGCGACGGATATTGATCACTTCCGGAATCATAGACGATAGATCCATTCCGGCTGCCACAGAGTTGTGGACGAGATTGATCGATAGCTGAGAAAATAACCAACCGACACCAGCGAAGAATGTCCCAACCCGCATGCCGGCCGTATACTCCATCGACTGCATCTGAGCCAATATTTCGGTGGGTTGCCATGTCTGGACACCGTATCGATCTCGAACTTCGTTCGCAACGAAGGTTCCGATCAGTGCCGTAAACGTAATCGTAAGGGGAGCTGCAACCATTTGTGCAATCGCTGGTGCTTTGCGAGACCGTGCAAATCGTGTCCAGTCCGATTGTCGGAAAGCGTTTCCCACCCACCATCCACCCACGGCACTAAAGCACTGCAGAAACCCAAAAATGTGGTCTCTGCTTAAACCATTAGCGGTTCGTACGTGAGATGGAAGTGGACCCAGGGGGGTTTACCTATCCGTCACAACCTTATCATCATGATGGATTTTTTTCTTGTAATCCTTCGCTGGTTGCAAGGCCCAAAAGAGCATACCACAGACGGACATGACAACGGCGGCGAAGGCGATGCGCATAAACGAGGTCAAGCGGTGAGGAGGAATAAGGAGAAGCGGAAAGAGTATCATCAGATATATGACCAGGGCGATAAATTCGTCGGCCCCCATCAAAGAACTACCAAACGTTAATATATGAGCACTCGGAGCTGTCGGTAACGGGGGCAATACATATGTGGTACAATGTCGGCCAGCTTCATAAAGCTAGGGCACAGAGCATTGATAATCACCCGGATAGCCTGAGCACCCCAGAATGCCTGAATGCCAAAACTGAACTCAGTCAGCAGGTGTAAAGCAAGTGAGAGACCACCGACATCAACGGTGGAACATACAGGACACAATTCACGAGCAACTTGGTGAGAACCACAAAATAGCTCCCATAGATGCCGAACGCAGCTCTGGACATCATCGGGAAGCTAACTCCATAGCGAACTCCGGGCTCCCCGCATAGGAAGGCGATGAATCCTATCATGAAAGCTCCGGCGAGCACTCCACAGAAGACTTCGGGGATGGTAAGACCTGTCGCCAGGTTACTGGAGCCGATTGCCCAGGAAGCGGCATTGATGCCCGTGATTCCCCTACCCCAGTAGTCAGCACTATATAACCCTGAGAGGTACACAAGCAAAGAAACGCAGTTACCAGTACGCAGAGAAAGTCACAGCGTTGAAGGTCGCTTTAGCGAGGGGGGTAGCAGCAGTGTCCTTGTTGAGGAATCGCGTTGGCTTGATGCCATTGGCGTCATCGAGCTTCATGCGCTGATACTGCTTCACGAACCATCGTTTGACAGTTGGAGGCATAGTGCTTTTTACTTATCGTAACAGAAGCTCTGCTTCGGGGTGGGCTGCGGTGATGTTTGTAGGGACAACTACGGGGGATGCTTGCGGGATGATAGAAGTGTCGAGGCGGTGTGCGGGAGGAAAGTGTAAAGGTGGACCGTCGCAGACCTTCTCGCACCACGTAAGGGAGGATCTGGATGAGGAACCTGGAGATTCTTTCAAAAGGCACGATTGAAAGAGGATGTTTGCCAGACGGAGAGGAAGTGTGCAGAAGACAAGATAAAGGGGAGTGGTTTTCTGGTGTCAGAAACGAGAGGAAAGGCGGAAGGAGGAAGCGAGTTTCAATTCTCAAGTTTGGCAGGCGGCCAAATGATTGGTTTCACTGCATGAAATTTGTTTTGGTGTCCAGACTGCATCTTTGATGCTGTTATTTTAGGAAGAATATATGGCGGTCCCTACCGCTCTAGATCAGCTGATCCAATAACAATCTCCCAGGAACGCACTCACCGGCCAACTTACTGGCATCGGATCTTCGGAACACAGTCCTCCTTTGCATGCAGATGGGGTCATGCAGCCTGCCGGTGAAATGGACTCGAAGCTCTCACTGTAGTAGTATGCACTTTCCTGCCTCCTCGACCCCGAACTGACGAGTGGTGTGTCAATCGGTTAAAGAGGGTCAGATCGGGGCTCCTTTTTTTTGCCCGATAGCATAGTCATCAGTGAGCTCTTCGACGTGGAACACATCAGAGGAGCCCTCTATCGAATGGCCCCGAAAGCGACGCATGTGACTTCGCTTGTACGGGCTTCCGGTCGAGGATCGATCAGTGCAGCTATCCTGTATTTTGAGAGCAGGGCAGCCATTCCAATCCTTTCGCTGCACAGCTCAGCCAGTCCCGACTTCGAAGACCATTTTCTATGCACGCAACCTGTTGGAACAGACACAGCACGTCGCATGCCAGCATGTTTGAACTCGGATGGGCTCCTATGACGGCATCCTCCCATGACGACATTCTCCCATGACGGCATCCACCCATCACCTTGAATGGAAGCCGTGTGGGTATCGCCGCAAGTGTGCCTAACATTTACGTTGCACCGCAACCATTCATACTGTCCCCGCTGCTCTCGTTCACCGATGTCTGCACGCAGACCCATTCTTCGAGCTCGATATCCAAGAACGCTTCTTTGTCATGCCAGTACACCAATGAATCGCATGTGGCTCGAAAGACTCGTCTGTGTATGCACAACCGCCTGTGCCATCACGTCCACCCATCTATTGCTGCTATGCTCACCATATGGCTGTTCGTCACCATCGTGATGACCAGAAGCGGTAGTGCTGTTTCTCTTCTTTCTTCGTTATCTCGCGACTGATTCCCGACAATCGAAGAACGAAGGTAACTCAACTGATTCCCGAAGGTATTGCAAATGTGGAGAGAAAGGCTGATCATACTGCAGGCACTGGCCGGTGAATGACGAACGACGCATCTAAAATCCTCTTCGACTATCGACACCGCTCGTTCCGAATCTGCACAACCATCATGATGCTCTACGAATGTCAACTCCGAGATTGTAACAGATGCTGCTGCTGGTTACTGTCAGGATATGGGATGCCCGGAGATGATGATGTCCCTAATGTACTCTAGTGTGGTATTCGAGGACGGACGACCAACCTTCTGAAGGGATCGATGGGGAGGTTGTCTGGTCTATGAAGCTTGTATATAGAGAGAGCTCGCTGCCCACGATGTTGCTGCTCTATCGAATACTATTGTTATGTTTATCTATCTCTTATGTTCAACAGTTACGATCCCAGGGCCCGGGGTACGTAAAACGAACTGTATGTGGGGTTACAAATGAAACGACCGATTCCGAGCTAAACAATCTTCTGTAGTCTATAGGCCAAAACCATCCGGCATCCCGCGCGCCTATCCTCACGCCAAACGCTTCGTGTCGTTCCACTCGAAAGTGCCGACTAATACGTTTGACTACCGGTAGCACACCACCCTGATCATCATGCTTGCAAGCTCGTTCCGGGAGAGGAAAGTCTTCAAGGATTTACGAACGGAACCTTTGCAAGCAATTCGCAGGTACGTAACCGTGCCCCGTTTAAGCCGCGGTCTTTTTTGCCGAGGTCACGATGGCATTCTACAATACCCATACTCTAACGGGCGTCATCAGGTCTCAGACTTATAGATCCCTCATTCGGTATCGCTACAAACGCATCATCCGTCCTACGCACGAAGATCTGAGGACGTTTTCACGGCAGCACGGCACCGACCATTCACCAGCCCTCTGCAGCGGCGTTCTCCTAACGACGCTATCCCCGAAGACCGGAGCTTTCCTCGCTGTGACCGCCACTGGCACATATTTTACGTTGGAACCCTTCATGTACTAGCATGGCGACATCGAAATCAATTTGCTTTCACTCAGTCCGACCAAGGCTTCAGCCGGCAGTATGAGTGGAAGCCGCATCTCGGATCCGCGAATCGGAGCTGGCTGATCTTGTAATTTGAAACTTTAGAAGTGATGAGTATCGTTGCCAAGGACTAATCGCTGACACCCAATATAGAAACGGTAGTCATATATGAGTTATGAAAACGCCATGGATTAACGAAAGAACGACATGAGAACCAATGGCTAGCTTATTCTTGGAACGTTCTCACATGCCTAGGTTAGATCTACGGAGATGATGGCCGGATTATTGATGGTCTGAACGGAGTCTGGCCGTACATTGTGTTGGGTAATAAATGAGATCTGTGCAGCTGTGCAAATGATAGAGGGAATTTGCTGACGAAATGCATTTAGACTATCAACGGGAATCTCTATCAGTCAATTATTCAGACACACTCTACGAATTAAAGTGATAGCAGATACCCGTGTAAGGGCGGGCGCAGTGAGCAGATTAACCATCAATGTGAGCGGCGCACTCTTCATCTACCAAAATATGAAAACTAATATAGCAAAGCAAACAGAGCAAACGTGCTATATGGTACGGACGGAATTGTCATGTCGGAACTCGGAAATCCTCGCCAGCGGTGTTCAAAGCCTCTACTCATCTTCTCCAACAGTTTCCCGTGTCGTCGCGAAGTTTAGAACGAACCTCGTACTGTGCCCTCATGACTTACCAACGTCATCCATACTACTGGGACCGGAGAATGACTTCAATTGCGAATCACGATCCTCGGCCGTCAATGGACCGCTCAGGCTCAGGAAGTGGATATAATTTGAAGAATGGAACAGATATCTTGAGACAGAGATGATGGCTTCATGATTGAGTGCCTTATCAGACCATAGCATTCATGAGGTATCAAACGAAATCTTTGGAGCTGTTGGTATGGATGGACCTTTTGCTGACTTGATGGATTTAGAGTATCAACGGAATCTCTATCTCAGTACTATTCCGACAAACTCGCCGGACTAAAGTCATGGGAAATACTCGTGCGACGGCGACTGAATCAACCATTAAAGTCAGCAGCGCACAATTAGCCTACCAGGACACAGAAACTAACTTTTCAAATAGGTCAGAAGCACGACAAAATACGCAAACGGAACTTTTAAGACGGGAAACCCCGCCGGCGATGTTCAAAGCTTCTGCTCGTCTCATCAAACACGGCCCCGCATCGTTGAGAATTTCACAACACACTCGGTGCTCCTTAAGTTCTTATTGAAGTTGTCGAAGTCATCCGAACTGCTGGGACAAGCGCACAACTTCCATTGCGAATCAGGAATCAGGATCCCCGGCCGTCAACGGACGCTTGGGCTCATGGGGTGGGCAAAACTCCAAAGACCGGAACGGATATTTTGAGACACTTCACACCTATGGGGATATGCTGTGCTTGGGGGACCCACTTGGATCGACTGTTCTCGTTATCAATAACTTTCTTCAACAACTCGGATTTGAGAGTTTCGCAGTCGCTTCGCCTCCGTTATTCGTTTCGCATAGGGAACTGTCACCCTGGCTATTTCATCAAACTTGCCCTCGTGTTGGAATTTACACCGTGGAGCTTCTCGGCCATCATTCATCATAATTTTCGACTACCGACGTCACGTGCGGTGCTTTTTCTCAGAAATGTGGCATAGCTAGTCACTCGTGAATCTCCAGCAGAGGAAAGGAAATGATGATTGTTTCGGATGGGGAAGGTGGGAAACATTTACAAGGGCAAACTGAGCGGACTAGATCTCGATGCCGGCGCTTTTCAAAGCGAAGACAAAGGTTCGCTCAAGCCATATCTGGCTGCCGGAGAATGGGAAGGAGTGAACGGTGAGGGGGATTCCGCGATGGAAATGCCAGCGATGTAAGTGGTTTTCCAAAGCTAACACCACTCACCGGCCTTGACTGACGTGTTTACAAGCAGGCCCGAATCCATCCACTGCTGCCACCTTCGCGATGAAGACTACAAAAAACGCTATTGCACACCTGCCATCGAAGCACCGTATTGGTCCAGACGGGGAGATTGTTGCCGAAGGGGGAACCAAGACGCAGCAGACGATCGAGAACGCGTTTGGCCAGTTGAAGCCACGAATCATTTTCAACATTGACATCTTCAAAGACCTCCACCTACAGTCGATCGTGGACATGAATGTCAGCTTCCGTGTCTGCGAGGATACATCATTCTGCATTCTTTGCTCGTACCTGGCCGCCTGCCAGCCAGATTACTTAGGCAAATACCGCGCACTGCCACAGAGTGGCAATGCCATGAAGCGTTATTTGCTTACCTGGTACGACTGCATGACGATAGAGGTGAGGTCGCAGCTACGCGCCATCCGAACCAAGATCCACCTCTCATTTGATATGTGGAGTGGACCGAACCGGCGTGCCTACCAGGCCATTGTTGCCCATTGGATGGATCGTAATGGACAACTACACGTGGCGCTGCTCTCTCTACATCGGTTCAAGGGCACCCACAGTGGTGTCAACCATACGGACCACCTTTGGCGCACCATCACCGACTATAGAATCTAACCGTTCGTCGGTATGTTGAACGTCGACAGCAAGGAGTCTGGATGCGGGCAAATCGAGATTCACAGGGTGAGGACGGGAGCATGTAACAGGAGCTACGTGGGTTGGAGATAGTTCGATAGAACGTGATGTAACGGGACAGGCGCGAGGGGACGTCCAAGGTACGTAGCATTCAAGGCGGCGACAAGTGACAAAGACGAGATATGGCAGAGCCCGGCAGACGGCGAGACTCAGAGAGATGTCTCAGGAGCAAGGTTGATATATTCGCTAATAGACAAGACGTTCTGTAAAGAAGAAAGAAAAGAAACAGACAAAGCGCGAGGGGAGCCCTCCTTGTGGAGACAATTCCTCCTGGCGCAATTATAAAACCCAATATCAACATAACAAAGGAAAGAACCAGAAAGAAGACAATGGAAAGAGAAGGAAGACAATGCAAACTTGTGGAAACCCAATTACAAATCAAGAAATTGAACGGAAAATCAAGGAAAGGAACGGGACGGAAAACCAGCGGAAAACAACACAAAAGAACAGAAACTCGGCTAATCCTCGGCAAACCTGTAGCCGCGCAGCCCTGCGCAGCCTCCAATCATTTCTGGATCGCCTCGCGGCTATGCCACACAGCCGGGCCGTAACATTAAAGAAATTGTCAGCTGTTCAAGGAGCTCACATTGGAACTACAAGTGAAGTATTGCAATGGTTTTGTCGCGGATATCTTGCCGGCTATGGATGATTTTCTTCGACATCTTGAACATTATAAAGTTCAGTTCACAGTGGATCCTCGCCTGTTAACCATGATGAATAATGGATGGGCGATTCTAGATGGGTAAGTCTCTCTTCTTTCCTGGATCACATCTACTTGGCAGTACAACTATTGACGTGACCTTCTCGGTACTACGCAAAGACAAACTTCTGCCCTACCTACGCTATTACCGTCGCACTTCATCCCCATGTGAAGTTCGAATATTTCCGCCAACAGTGGGCTTCAAGGCCCGGCTGGATTGCAGCGGCAGAGGCGTCTCTTAATCACCGCTGGTAAGAATCTTATCGTGAATAGTCTGCCGCGCACAGGCCCAACGTGGAGGGGCCGCAAACCGTGCATCGCCCAGGCAGCCGGATCCACTACTGCGAAAGGAAGCGGCTCGCGCTCATCCAAGAAGAGTAACATGGTGATCAGATGCGCCGTTTTCAATAATCTCCTGTAAGGAGGGAGCCGATAGTTGATGTGGTACAGTATTGGAACGTCATGGCCATGGATCCCAATATGCGGGATCTGGCAAGAATGGCTATGGACAACTTGACTATTCCTGCCATGAGTGCGGAAACAGAACGTGTGTTCAGTGCCGCAAAATTGCGCATGAGTGATAGATGGTGCAAGATGGGGGACGACGCTGTGGAAGCATTGGAATGTTTGAAGAGTTGGAAACCGGATGGGTTATTTGATGCCTGTAGGAAGGATAATAGGGTAATGGAGGACACGCTTTGTGGTTTGTGCGAGGAGGATCTTGAGTAATTTCGGTGGTTACGGTCATATACTTTAGCTGGACAATGATAACTTGAGTGAGTCGCATGCTACATATTGCTCCGTGTTCGCAAGCTTAATTCTGCACCTCTGCCTCCCTCAGCCTTCAGGAAGCCCACCAGGCTCGTCACCAATGTCACCGGTTTCTTCCGCCGAAACTAGAAAAAGTTTCATTTCTTGGGTTCTTCGGCCGGGAACTAGAAGAATTTTCACATCTTGGCATCAGACTGTAGTCCCCTCCTGTCCTCGGCATCCATGGACGGGACGAACTACTTTTCGGCAGTCCGTCCGGAGGGCCGGACCGGAATAGATCTTGGCAGACCGTCCGGTCCGGACGGTAGTCCCGACCGGACTATGTAGAATACTGCAGCGCGGTGGCTACCAGCAGAATTTCAGCCTTGAGCAGATTTTTCAGCATCGTCAACAATGGAAATCAGGGGATAGACAATGATGGAAGTAGGAACAGGTATGGTGTGAAGGTTCGATACCGTGAGAGACACTGCGAAATGGAGCCGCACAGCCACATATCCCCACACTTGCGCCACTGTGTGGTGCCACGCCGCTTGCATTGTCCTAGTGTGCCAGTCAATTCCGGGCCCTGTAGGGTATCCGTCTTCATTTCTCCAGCCCAGAAGACTGTAGTCCTTGGTCTCCTCAGCCCGACTGATTCCGTCCCGAGCCGGGCAAACTCAAAGACGGACGGGACGGACGGTTGACAGCGCCGGAGGGAGGTGGTCGCATCGAGCCCGCTTTCTGAGGATGGACAGGACAGAGGGGATACTACGTCCATACGCCGCCATGTCATACCTACGATAAATCTGAGGATATAACCAGAAAAAACACGCCCCTCAGTTGCGTTATGAACAGCCTAACGGCCTACGTTTCAACGATTATTGAGCATAGTGTGCTCCGCCGGTCGGTATCAGGTTCCTTCGAGCTTCTTCACTAAGTTCAGGATCACGAATACCCGGAGGATTCCCCACCGCCATCTGGAAGGGACAGTCATCCACGACCGCGATAACCGAACCCTCCCGACATCTATCAGGATTCGGCGCGAATGTGGGACGGAACTCTGAAAAAGAGGGCCCGACGATTTCGCCACAAACTTCCGTTTGCACCCTGTTGCGCATTCACAACAATTGTCAAGTCGAATACCTAAGTCAATCACCTGCGCTTGTGGTTTGTCGGTAGTTTCGGTGACGACGATGAAGATACCGTAGTGTGTTTGTCTGGAAACACTGCGAACAGGCTGACTCTCACGCTAGATATGCAAGCTCTGCAAAAGTCAGCGAAGAAGGAAGTGAGCGCTCCAAGCAAATGACAGTGGGAGAAGACAAATTCCACTCACTCAAACCGTCCCTACGTCACCGGAAGTCCCTAGTCGTCGCCACTTCCCACCCAGGCCTGGGAATAGTCCATCCCGACGGAAGACTATTGGGGCCCGAGTGGGGCCCCGTGGGGCCCAGAAATATTTAGTGCGGAAGCGGCTGGCTACTAAGTGTACGGTGCCGGCTGTCCGGAAGATTTTGGCCGGTGCAAATTTTGCATCCGATCGGATACGGGATTGAACAGTGAGCAACGGACATGCACATAGTGCATGATCTGCCGGTAGAGGTGTCTTCTTAGCCGTCTACTCCTCGGCGTTCTGCGAACTCCTCAGTCGTGTTCTTCTCAGCGTGATTCCGGCCTGGGGCGCCACAGTTCCAAGGCTAGTACTAGCGCCAAAATATCCGGGCCCGAATGCAGTCGTCCTTCAGCTTGCCTGGAGCCCTGTCGTCCTTGATATTCCGGGCCCGACAAATTCCGTCTCGTCCAGGGCATCGCCTCGGACGGACGGGACGGACGATTCCCAGGCCTGTTCCCACCTCTTCCAAAAGGGATGGCATGAAAGAAGGTGTGGAGAGGAACAGCAAGCTGGAGCCCAACACCCAAACCTCAACACCATCCTCCTCCTCCCGCCTTAGTTCCGCCTTCCTTTATTCCCGCTCCTTGAGCTCCCACTCGGAGACCTGGCTCTCTATATCTTCCTCGTCGGTCGCAGGCATCCATCTTTCCACAGCAGTGGAAGAGAGGAACTGGAGAATCCAGCGCTCGTCTGTGAAGAGGTTCCGGATCTGGAATTGATCTTTGCATCTCCTCATTTGCATCCGGACCTTTTTCCACGGAATTTTCTGCTGGTCTTCCATTCGTGGTAGTCCTTGAAAAGGTGCTCCCGTGTCTGAGCCTTTTAGCTGCACCATCCGCAACGGGCGCCTGGTCGGCGTGTTGCCCACCGGAGGTACTGGCCGGATTTTTTTACCGGATTTCCCAATTCCAATTTCCAATTTCCACCAAGGAGCTGGCCGGTTAGGACGACGTGATCGCATATGACGCCGAATTCCCGGACTTACCGAGTAATGACGCGCTCGAATACGCCGGTCGGTCGGGTATATCCTGCTGTTTGTGGTGCAGTCCCGTTGACTCGCACACTTTACCTCCCGCCCATAGTATTGTACTAATGGACGTGGGCGGAATCGTGCCGACGGCGGCTGCAATGCTGAATGCTGAATCGCTGATGTAGTGGCTCGGGGGCGAGGAATCGCGACAGGTCGTTGGATGCGGTAGACGGTGGATCTGGATTCGGGAGGAGAGGGGTAGACCCTCTGGCTCTTTGATCTGGCATGCTGGTATTGCAGCCGGCGGGACTCGGGGGGTACCATTGCGGTACATGAGAATATCGTGGGGATTTGGTCCTCGTCATGCGAAGTTGGGAACTCCGCGACATGACATCTGCCGAAGTGAACCCATCAGAACTTAAATGCTCGTTTCCCACAGCTACAATGGAAATACCCATGGCATGGTTCTCTGTCGCCTCCTCCCTCGTTCTATCTTTCATCTGGACAGCGGTCGTCGTAGATTCGTAGTGTTGCACTCGTGGTTTGGCGATAGATCCGGCAAGGAGAAGAAGATAACGGTAGTAGGCTTGTCAAATATCTAAAAAGGTCGCGGGCCGACTGGGGCCCAGGGAGAATCACAATGCTTTGCAAAGCCCAGCGAAGGGCTCGGGTCATACAGTATGAGCAAGTAAGCGAAGCATGAACTTACTTGGCTAAATTTGGGATGGACGAGTGATATACCATGATTCGGTCAATGCAAAAGATTACACAATACAGCGTCCACCCACCGGGGCTGAGCCCCGACACCGAGGGTAGTGACTGGTTAAGTTTCAGTCGTGATTACATTCAATTATTGGTTGTATCACTTCTTTTTCTGTTTATAACCCACAAAGCTTTCCAACCCACAACCATTCGTAAGAATGACATCCTCATTCTAACAACACAATCGACGATATTGTCAAGACTTGTTTTTTTTTTGACGAAAACGCCTGCGAGAATGTAAGACATTCAAACCTCCATCAACAACACGGCTCACGAACTGACAGCAACAGAATCGACATCAATCCGGTCTACGTTGTCGCATATTACAGACACCTTCAAGATCATCAAGATGCGCACTTTCTTCGTTGTTGTCGGGCTCCTCGAAGCCGCGGTCGCTTTTGTTAATGCAGCGCCCTCCGGCCACGAGGCATTCGTCAACGTCAGCGCCAACATCGCCGCGGCTATGGACACTACCGCGCCGAAAAAAATCACGGTTGAGATGCCCACTTCGCTTCTCGCCGACCTCCACGGTATTAACATGACGGAAACCTTCACGACCGCCATCGTCATGGCCGACGCTTCCGACAAGTTAAAGTTCAACTACCTTGTCGCGAACATCGAGGAGCCCGGCGTGCTCACGCAGGCCGGGAGCGTCAAGTGCGAGACGTCTTCCGCGTCCCCGACCTTCGAGGAGATCCAGGGCTGCGCCGCCAAGCTCGAGGCGAGGAAAAAGACCTGCATGCAGAGCAACCGCTACGGCTCCCGCTGCACTAGGCTCGAGCACTACAAGGGCGGCGACGTCTCTTTGTGTGGCGAGCACAAGGCAATGGTTCACTGCCATGACCTCTCTTGGGTTGTCAAGGAGATCATGTTCCGGTGCGCCAACTACGACTTCCATAGGGCCGGCGGCACCTATGCGTTCGCTGGAAATGCCCCCCTGAAGGGTGTCGTCCATTAGGCGTTATGGGGGTGTGACATATGCTTGGAATCTTTATAGAATCTCGTGCTTATGGTAAATAAAATGATATTTGTGTGATACTGCTTGGAGTGTCTTTCGTATTTTGGTGAATCTTGTGGTCTCCGTAAGTCATGTGGTGTGACACCGTCCAGTGAATCGTGATTTAAAGTGTAAAGTTCCAATGTAACCAGAACGTGTGGATCAATGTAAGAAGCTGTTTTTCGTCTTTCTGTATGTGACCCTATCGCATCATGGCAGTGCTCCGGATGCTGTCCCCGCGGAGACTCTCGTCGCCAGAACGTCGCGAGCGACAGCACGGGCCTGGCGATCATGGCTCTGCAAGCTGTACCTGGATGAAATCACGGAATGACCGAGTCAAATCGGTTGCCTCCGGATGGAAGCTCTTATGTAGTGAAACGCACTGCGGATTTCCCTTGCAGCCGACACATGAATATCGCCGCTCAGGCTCGGCTCATATGTTCGGCCTGCCGTGTGTGAAGGGGCTTGAAGACTCGGCAGTTAAAGCTTTTGGTCGAACAAACCAATTCGTACTAGATGCCTACTATGGAGAAGTGGTTTTACACGAAGAACGCCTCCGAAAAAGGGCACGGGGACGGGCTCTGCACGAAAGATACAGAATAGCCATGTCGGCACTGTGAAAGCAGACCAGATGGCTGAGTACTATTGGCATGCGTTCGATCGAAAGCCATCCGTGGTTGGCGCTGGGTATATTATTTCCTAATTGTTTGATAGCTCGTGGACTCTTCCGAATATTCGGATGAGACATCGCACTCTGTGGGTTTCTTCGCAATTCACGACTCTGGTGTGAGACGAAGCCACGGAATACGTACATATGGTTGCAGCTGCGCATGCCCAGAACCACAATTTGAGACATCACATGGCAGCAGGAGGGTCGAGCCGGGCGGGGATGTACATGCGCACAAACAAGGAGCCACATGCTGTCCAGTGTCCACTCGCGCGAGTGGTGTCAAACCGGTATCGTGTTTGCTGCTGATGCAATCTCGCTAGATCGGTTCCTTGGTCAATTTCTTCTTCTCTCCGTTCACTTTCTACCTCCACTCCCTTCTGCCTTCAGGCTTCACCTCCCCTCGCATCTATCTCCACCCCCCCCACCCCCCCCCCCCCCCCGCGCGTTTCCCCTCTTTCCTCACCTCCCTCCTCACGCCTCGACTCGCAACCATAGACGTCACCCGCATCGCACAGACTACTTTCCTTCACTGGAATCGTAAGTAATATCTTTTCTCCTACTTCCACCTTTCGCTGTATCCACAAATTTCCACGGGCTTCATAGTGGCCTATTCACCCCTTTCTTTCCACATTTTCTCTATCGAGTACCCGCGTCACGTTTGCTTGCAGCTCTCGCTCAGCCTTCCATCAGCACACACTCAAATCAACGTCCATAGCCCTGTGCAGAGCGAACACCTGGCATTCAAGCAACCCCCATCCTCTCGAACCGAACACACTCCACGACAAAAAAAAAAACTCCCCGATGTCAGGGTATGATCTACCCTTCTGTTATCAATAGTGCTTTGGACAAGTACTGATGTGGATTACAGCAACATGTCCAAGCCGTGGGAAACCGCGAGGGATGCCAAGCTGGCCGCTCTGCAGGCAGCTCGCCGTGAGGCATATAAGTCACAGTACGACAGCAAGCATCGCGTGTCGAAGTCTGGTGGTGCCTCTGGTGGCCCCTCCGGCGCGAAGAAGAGTGGAGAAAAGAGCGATCAGAAGCTTCCCGCCAATTTTGCTTTCAAGCTCATCACTGAAGGCGGCCATGGCGAAGTGATGATTGACGCAGTTCTGACGGCCGAACGCATTGATGCTTCCTCGGTCCCTAAGGCGACCCCGACCAAGGCGACTTCAACCAAGGCAACCCCAGCGAATGCCATTCAGGGTGGTTTGCCAAACACCGGTGTCACCCGTACTGACGGAGGCCATGAAACCGACAGCTCTGACGAGTTTGATAAGCTCGTCGGTGACCCGTTTGTCGACTCTGGTCCTGGGAAGGCTATCATCAACCATTTTGCCGGCTCTGGTAGCTTGACGGCTGGCATTAACCCTTTTGTCCGCACAGTTGAGGCTTTCGTTACCCCGGTAATCAGCTCTGGTGGTGTGCAGGCTCTCGGTAGCCCTTTTGCCGGCTCTAGTCCTGCGCAGACTGTCGCAGCCATCGAGAACGAATGTCTTCAGCAGGTGGACGGTTGTCGCCCGCTTTTTAAGGTGAAAAAGGAGCCTGTCGACGATGCACAGTGAGTAATTGATTGACACATGGAAAGATGGATGTTGATACGTTTTAGGGTCTTTTCAGCTGAGCGGAAGCTGAACGACAATGGAAAAGCGTGTTCGTTCAACCCTTTCCAGCAATGGATCGACGTCTCAGGACGACTTGATGGTCAGAGTGCTACTCCCGATCACGCGGCGAGATCTCTCACTTCTCAAGACGGCACCAAGCAGGATCCGGGACGTTCCACGGCTACCACCATTCCTGGCCATCAGCTGATGCTGCCTGTTGGCGGAAACATGGTCCCAAACAAGACCAACTTCGATGATCCGTTTACGGTCCAAACCATGATTGACAAAGCTGTGAAAACTGCTTTAACGGAAAAGGACGAACAGTTGAAATACCTCAAGGTCTCGCACGCCGCGGAGATCTTGAATCTGAATATGGCCGCCGAACAAAAATTGAATAACGCGCTGAAGACTAATAACATGGTAGTCTCCCAGCTTCAGACTTCCCTCGAGTGGCTTAAACAGTCAACCGTGAACGACAAAGTGATTCTCGCCGAGGAGTTCGAAGATGCCGCCTGCAACATAGCTGCTGAGAAGGAGGTTGAAGTTCGCACCGTCATGGAGGAGAAGATGGAAGTGGAGAGATTGGTTCAAGTGCTCAACTTCCGCATTGGGAAGATGAAGGAACTTTTGTTCTTGTCCGACCAGAGGGAGCACGATCTTGTCATACGTATCAGGAATGCGGAGGCCGCAAACGAGGAATTAAACCGTCGCCTCGCCGTTTACGCCCAGATCGAGAATGCGCTGACGGCTCGCGTTGATACCCTCGAACGTGAGGAATCCAATCTACAGCACCGTCTCACGCTCGCTGAGGACGAGAACCTTTCTCTGGCCACCGACATAGACCACGTCATCGAATTGGGTGAAGGACTGCTTGACGCTTTCGAGTTCAAGGAGCGTGCCTATGAGCGCATCATCAAGAGGTTGTCGCCGAGCGAGTGTCCGAACGTCAGGGTCGCCTCGCAGGCCATCAAGGAGGTGCGACAAATAACTCGCGTCCTACGTTCGTTTTGCAGGAAATCAAATCTGACTTTGCGCATGACAGGCTTACGATGAGCTCACGGAGGGTTATCGCGAGGTTCGTGGTCGCCTACGCTCGGATGCCTACTAGCGTTAGGACACCAACTCATCGATCGTCTTGTCGTCAAAATGACGGAAGCTTGCGTTTTGTTTTTTCTTGAAAGTCACGATGCGGATATGGTTGTGAAGGATTCGGTAGGATAGAGGGATTTGCCTTTAGTTCTAGGCTCCTTGACATATCTACATCTGGTGTCGCTTGTGCTTTGCTTTCTGTTTCTTCTGCCTTTTAGTGCAGACTGATAGGTAGCTACTTTGTTGAATTGAAGAAATCCGTGAGATCGTCGTGTCCATGGTTGACTCCTCATCTGGGTGAGTGGCAACAGGCCAAATTCCATATATCTCGTCACAACACTGATGAACGCTTTGGTGTGTATCTCTGTTGCCCATGCGATCACCTGCTGGATTACTGGATTACCTTACAGAGTTATGAAGCTCTCGGAAGGCACTTGGAGGCTCGGAAGGATATTTCTATTTTTTGAACTACGCACGACCTGAAGTGACAGAGTCCAGTTATCCGAATCATGCCTGTCCAAGTTCCAACATGTCAAGTCAATATGTATCTTCGCTTACATCTCCACGTTCGATGAATGAACCGTATTATGGCACATCCGTTTGGATGAGCGGTAGGGTGTAACGTTTCCGCAGTAGAAGGTTGACTTATGATGCCAGGTTGGCTATTAGTTCTCCGCCTCAGACACGTATCTCGAACATCACGGGAAAGACGGTGTTACCTTTTGCGCAGGTATTCTCATTCGCACCATATTTATTCTCCGCAGACAATTCTGGGAATTTCAATTGAATAATGGAAGCCACCGCCATCACCAGTTGTACTTCGATCTCTGAAGAGAACTAAATCTTTTCAATAGGCGTCCCCGTATTTTCCACATATATGGCCGTTGCCGGCCGGCACTGACCAACCATCACCAACATCTACTCCTACTTCCTGCAAGCACAACACACATCCCTGAACTCCAACAACCTCAAAGTTCAAACAATCGGTTCACGCATACCCGCAACTGCTGCCTTATAATCCTCCAGCAAGCAAACAACACATCAATCCATCCGCAGAACCCTCCAGCCTCAAACGGCTTTCCGAATCGATTCCACAGCAGCTTCCAACAATGGTTTTCACCGGACTCATCGCTCGCCTCCGCAACACCCGACGGAAACTCTCGTGGCAATGCTGTTTCTGCGCCCAGATCTGGGACCGCCCGCAAGGCTTACCGAGCAGCCGCTGGGTGTGTCCCGACGCGTCGTGCGGGCATACATGTTGCCCGGCCTGTCCGATCACCGGGTAGGCGGGGAGTGGATAGCAGTCGTCCAGTTCTTTCGATTTCGGCCATTTGCTTGCTTGTTTCGACCTGCGCAGTTCGCATGTTTGCTTTTTTTGAGATTTATGTAACTTTTTTTGTTGTTTCTTAATCTACTAGTTGGTTTCACTGCTATGCTGTTCTGACTTCGGTGAAGTGATTATACGTGATACTCCGCGAGTAGGTGCCTTAAACATGCCGTTGTGTCCCTTCTTCTCCGGGTTTCTCTCGCCCACAGTGGCACTCGCGGAGTGGAGCCTAGCTGCTTCTACAGCGGTTACAACCTCCCATCCCACGAATCCTAGCTGGTCGAGAGCTTTAGTCGATAGGCTGCGATATTGTAGACCAATCTAGTAAAATCGAATAGTGCTCATCAGCGTGATGTAAACAGACGTCATCACTCGGTTTTGCACCCTTCGTCAATATTGAAATTTGGAGAACTTGACTTGATTGATGTATTGATACGAGAAAAAAGAGAAAGAGGACTTCATATAAAGGGACAACGAGCTCGTGTAGACGAAGAGAAGGCCGGACCTCAGACAGAGGATGCGACGACAGTCGTCGCCGGACTGGGCTGGGGGCTTAAAGGCTTTCAGCTGACGAGGCCGATTATGAGGAGACGCCACAGACAAAGCCACGAATGAAAAGGAAATGAGTGAAGTATGCAAAGGAAAGCGGAAAGTAGCAGTGACACCGGAAACAGGTAACAAGACGCATAATATCAACAATCAAAAATCACCATTTCCAACTCCTTATCAGCAGAGATGTTTCAACCGCTTAGGACATGTAGCGCTGATGGGAGAGCATACATTCATGTTCGTAATCTAGTGACATCGGCTATGTAGCTACTTACGAATCGCACGGGTTTGGCAGCCACCGGCATATGTCGTTCGTAATTGACCCCAGTCGACTGCCACTTTCTGAGGTTTGGGAGTCGAACGCTTTGGCTGGCCAAATACAACTGCACGGAGTCGTGTAGAGTTAATATTACGGCAACACTTTCAAACCTTCGCATTCCACCCTGTTGACGTGTTTGTTTCACTGTTTGTTGCTCGTTTGTGCGATTGTCACTCGCTTTTTTACTGACATTTTCTACGTGTACTGCAAAAACGCTGTGGCTGAATGCTATGTGTCTTGCGACTATAAAAAGACTCTCTATTCGTGCCAAGATAGGTCTTTTACTCTATTATTCATCGCCTGGATAGACGTGCTTACTCTACCTCATTATTTTTGCAATAGTTCCCTGCAACTCGTTTCAAACGTGAACACTCTTGTATGCTTCGGCCTTCCTTCAACTGCACTTACCAACATCAAAACCACTTTTTACAGCTTGCGTGATACTCGTATTAATCGCCATCGATGCCTCGTCCACGTGTTGAGAAGAAAAATACCACCAAGGCTACAGCTGCAGTGGCGATCTCACAGCCGGACTAACCACCTTCGGCGAGAGTGCACAAACTTCCACCTCGCATACAACTATCGCATACGGAACTCTTGGTGCCTCTACCGTTCCAGATCACGATGTTTCAAGCAAAGAAGCCAGGTTTGAAAGGACCTTTCACCACACTTAGTATGGCGTTGGAAGACGGAATCGCATACGAGATCGAAGGTATTGGACGATGGCGATTACAGACTGGAGAAAACCTTGATCACCGATTTCAAACATTTCCCACTAAAATTACCAGTCCAGGTATTGGTCGACCGCCATCCGTCCACTCGTACCAGTCCCGCAGAGCTCCCAGTTCAATCCAAGCCGCAAGATGAGCACCAATTACCGGGAACGGTCAGGGAGGATGTTAATTATAAACTACTCCAGAATGCCATCTTGTAGGATATTTCCTATCTCCGCAGTTGCAGACTAACTTCAAGACGCCTCGCATTGATTCCCATCCCTCTAACCACCCAATCTGGCGAGGCCGGGTAGACTCCCACGTATCTGATGCCACGCATCACTATTAGCTCGTCACCTTTCTATCCTACAGACTAGCGCTCCTCTCATCGTGGAGGCAGAAACCAACAACCACCTTAGAATTTGCCGGCCAGAGAAGCAAGCACGGGGACACAACTTCTAGGGTACTGTCGCTGCTCACCTCCAACCTGCCTTCGTTCCCCCTCACCATCCACTCAGAGAAATTATTTTCTTCCTACAACATGTCAAAATCCTTTAGTATCTTCAACCCACCATCTACACCATCCAACAATCCTCATCCGTCCCAGGACAGCACAACAGGAATTCTCTTCCATCCCAATACATCCTCAGCACCTCCATCCACCTACCTCACAATGTCGAATACCGATCACGGTCTTAGCCTTCCTACTCCACCCACGACGTCCGTGGACATCGGTACGTCCGTCAATCTTCCCACGAGCGCAGTCTTATCGGCACAGGCTGGCTCGATACTCGCTCCACAGAGGCCTGTGATGGTCGGATTCTATAACGGCGAACAAGAGAGTGAGTAGCCCCCGCCGAGTCAGACGCAACCGGGTGTACGATATGTCACCCCTTACCCAAACATCTACTTACATGTCGGAGAAGTCTCGTACTGGAAAAATGCAGACGAAGACGAAGCCACTTCGATCGCCTCCACCCAGAATCCCCAGATCTCCTTCGGTCATGAACAGAAGCATCAAGGTGTCCACGACAACCCACCATCGTCTCTTTATGGTGGTGTTGCTGCGAACAGCATCAATCAGCCCGTTGTCGAATGGCCAGAAATTGAGTAGAGTCCCCCGAGAGGTACCAGAAATACGACTCTGTTATGGCTGTCGATACCAACCCCGACAGAGTGTCTTTGGAGGAGCTTAACAAATTAGAGGACACCAACGCCTCCACGCAGTTGCACTCGTCATCAACGCAGTCAGGTGAGCAGGGACCGGCCAACTCCAACTGCGAGGAGTCGTAGCCTGTCACAGGTAAGCGATCAATATCTTCTGGTAGATGTTTCGGTGCTGATTCGTGCATTACAGCGACGCCATCAAAAAAGCGTCAGAACACTTCTAAGGCGAAGCCCAAGCGTAAGTCAGCTGCAAAGCGCAAAAACACAGCACCAATCCCAAAGTCTGAACCGTTCGATCCCGATAAGGCCACTCTCGATGAGATCCGGTCATTCTGCAGGGAGCACGATATCGGCCTCAAGAGGGATTGGCGAAGAGCGGAATTCGTCGCCATCGTCAAGTCCTACCTGGCTGGCAAGCCCGTTCCGCGCTTGCGGAAGCTTAAAAAGAGGTAGACTCGGGTTGAGTTCACCTGTCACGAGGTGCGGGATTGTAATCAAGCTGTCGAAATTCGCGTTTGACGGGAGATTACATGTGTCATCATCATGGTAATGTTGTGAACGAAGACTTGCGTTTGATTTGGCAGCCGTGCGATAAAGGAAGAGGTTGATTTTTCGGATGTGCGATTGGGTGATTGAGGTCATTTACTTCGGTCATATTTGGTAGCTCATATGTGGCGTCTTCTGTCATTTGCTCTCATTTGCTGTCTTTTTCTGTGGTTAATCGGTTCGTGTAGTCTGTTCGGCGAGCTGGGACATTCGGAAGTTCTTGAATCATGGTAATTGACAACTGTTGGTAATAATTCGAGATAGATATCGTGCAACGAAGGGGGCCCTATGACGACTAGTATCATCACGACTGTTCGATTACGGTGCATAGGGGCCGAATGAGCGTTAAAGTGGTACATCAAGGGCTCTCTCCTTGTAGGGTGATACGTTGGACAACCTGTAAATAATAAGGCTTCGATGACCACCTTTGCTTTTTGGCTCAAGGAGTGAAAATTTAATCGAGTGACAAGCGAAAACATAAAAAGCTCAAGCGCAGATTCGAACCGCGGATTTCCCCATGAATTCTGAGGCACCTTTCCGCTAGACCACAAGAGCTATGATAATAGCGGTGCCTAAAGTTGAATATGAATTGCGCTTTGTGCTACGCCTCATCACTAGGATCTGCCTTCTGCGGCGACCAAAATAGTATCGCACGAACAGTTGCCTCTACTCAAGTGATGATTCCACTGCTCGATGGCAATACGTAAATCCGAACCACGGCGGTAATCCTCAGTGACATTTTCTTTCCTCTCGGGAATGTTAGATGCAGAGGTGTAGGATGTTAACGGCCTTAAGTCATGCGCTGAATGACACCAACATAGAATCGCACGAACGCGATGCTTCGCTTCAATTCTGTTGTGCTACATGCGACGAGCACTCTCACTCTTTGTAGCTAATTCATGTGCGCTTTCGGGCGGAGGAAATAATGTTTAGGTGGCGCTACCGATGACTACTACGCCAACTGCTTTGAAGAAGCCGCTGGAGTGTGTTTTTGTCGGACCTGCAGGAATAAATACCATCTCCAACCTTGAGGAATACGATAGTAGCGGTGCGATCATCACAGAAAGCCAGAGGTATGGATTAAGGATGTTATGAGTTCCATAGAGCATGCGGACCTTTTAGCGGTAAAGTAACCAGGAGCTGTGCGTTCCGAAATTGTGACTAGAAGGTCGTTACTGATGTTCACCAAAGCTATTCGGTACATATCGTCGCCCTCACAGCTCGACGCCATCTGGGTCTACTCGGTGATTGTTGCATCATCTTTCTAGCAGCGCCGCTTGCCGGATAGTTCAATCGCGTCTCCATCGACGTCGAGTGGTGGTATGCACTTTAGTCTCTGCAACAGATACCGCTGGGTCACTGGGTATGGTCTAATAAAAAAGATCGGAGGCGTGGTCGATTGCATGGTATGTGTATTGAAACCAACATGGCACCCTTAGGTCCTCGGACTTACCTGCTGAACCAGGGTGCGAACAACTTGTCTATCGAGCAGGCGATACATACTCCGAGTCTCCGACACCGGCAGTCTGTATCTTCTGTTGGCCACTGTACTCCTGTAGGCCCAGAAAGTACTTCGGATCACTGCGTGACTCAACTTCCTCCTGCATTCCAGCTGTGCCTTGTTTCCGAATTCCATCTCGGGAAACTCTCACACACACCACCGTCTACTGGCTCTCGACTGCAGTTATCAGGCTCCACATTCAGGGTCTCCTTCGATGGATAATCAATGCTTGTTCTCCAGCCAACTGCCATCTTCAAGCCGGCTCCCGTTCTCCAGTCGGCAGCCGTCCTCAAGCCAAATCATGTTCTCCAGCTGTCAGCTTTCAGACGGAATACACTGAGGTCCATGATCCGAGTCGTTTGCGCCCATGACTCCGTCCTCTTTAGCAACCGATACTGCTCCCAATGCTGGTCAGCAATAGGGAAGATACCGCACTACCCACATCTTGAATATGCAACGCGCGATACTGAGCATATCATAGCGGAGCCTGGAGCGAGGAACCATGAGTTGAAGCAGCGTGCAACACTCAAGGATATCACACATCGGGGTGGGTCGGCTCCGCGGTCAGTGTTAGCTGAAGATAGATGGAACTAAGGCTATGAGCATGCTCCCTTGGCAGATGTCCTCGGTCGCCGATATCGATTATCCTACGTCCAAACCGCGTGGATCTCCGGGGGGAATGCTATCAATCATCGATTTGGCTTCATCTGTGTGGTCAGTACAGGCAGCGGAGACATGGAGCTCTCGATATGGGCATACAGTATACTCTACCAGCAGCAGTTCTCGGACGCTGATATCGATTATCGCACGTCCGAAAGGCGCGAACCGGTAAAGGTATGCTATCATTGATCCAGTTGATTTTATCTCTGCAGACATTTCTAGCAGAAGAAAGCCATGGCTATGGGCAAACTCCTAGCACCCGCCCTCAACAGCCGATCGAAAGATTCGAAGTCCGAAACCCCCGGGTTTGATGGAGGAATCCTCACTACGGTCGGCTACAGATACCGAACTCCGTGAGCTCTGTGTCGTCCTCACCACGTGGCCTCGGACTGGACGACCGTGCCACCACACCAATCATTCTCGAATGGATAGCAATAATCCTCCCTTCATAGGCTGATTAAGTTCAAAGCGGGATTGATATTCTTTTAGGCGAATTTGAAGGGGTTCTATTTGTAGACGAGGGCTGGAGCAAGCGTCAGTACGGGAGGCGTTATGCGGAAACTGATCAGGCTCCATGTACCACCGTCGGAAGGACTCCAGTTCGGATATCTCGGGTTCCAAACTGTCTGCCTGTCATCTACAACGGAGAATCGTTTCATACCTTTGCTTTCTACCCCCTTCGAATGTACGTCACACAGCGTTGTCGCACCCAGAGCGCTGAGTCACCCCAGCCAGTTGCGGCTCGGGAATAGAGGGTGATGACATCACAAACCATCAACACCGAGCACAGCCAACCACCCGCTGGAAGACCATCCAACAAATACTGTCTTCCGATCATCTAACACTCATGAATCGACTATTGACTACCCATCTACGGATTGCACACGCCGTCAAATTTCGTTCATATCTGGACGGCCGAGCTGACGCTGCCTCCATGCGGCAATGGCAGTCACAGTGGGAGAAGCTCAATGCGGCGGGGTAGACGTTACGTAGGGCACACAATACCATCTAGCTAGCAGGGGTTCTCATCCTCCTCCTTCTTATCACGGCCTCAGTCTTGCACTCTGCATCCTCCTTCATCGTCTCGGTTCTCTCATCTCCACTCCTCCCTACCATCGTAGTCTCGCACTCTCTATTCCCCTTCACGTTCGCGTTTCTGCTCTCCCACACCACCTAAAGTCATAATCTCATCCCCACTACAATCACATTCCACATCATCAACATGAGCGGCTGCAACTACGTCGTCGAGTTAAACCATGGACCCTACACCCTGACCTACCACCCCGGCACGGTCTCCGTCGCCGTCGCTGCTGCCGCGCAGCCCCCGGCGATCCAAGTCCCCGCGTCCGGAATCGAGTACTTTGTTTACCGCTGCTCCCCGACCGTCGAGCACCCCATGGACCATTGGAAATTCTACCCTGCAACGACCTGCCAGTCCCAGCTTCCGGATATCCGCGAGGCTCGCCCGCTCTACGTCTTCTCGTCCGTCACCGGACAGTATACCGCTGTCAATCAGATCGGCATCAACTGGAAGTAATCACCGCAAGGCGATGGCGGGGCGTGGTTGTTAAGGGATCATGGTAAGTAACTAACTCTCCTAAATGTCACAAGCGATGGCAACTGACCACATATGAAGCCGCCGGGGGATAACACGAAACACGGTTTGCTCATCAAGAGAAAATCATTTTCCTTTCATTGTTGCATTGACTTGGGCGGAGATGGGTAATAGGTTTGGTGGGATTGGGTTTGCTTTCTAGTTGTGTACTCGGAATGGTGTTGCATTTTTCTCTTTCGCGCATGGGGTTACTGGGAGATATCGAGATTGGGGATGGGATGATGCGCTTCGCTGGAATGCACCTTCTGTTTGCTTGCATGTACTGGATTGTCTTCAATGAGAAATCGTTTTCCTCCGTACTGTTTCTCGGAACAGCGGGGTCTCGCTTTCGTCGTATCGGTGAGGCAAACTTGCAGGATTTTCGTCGTCCTCACAGGCCCTACACTACAAGAATAACAATCGGACGGATACGCCCCCATCAATACGAGCCGGGCAGGCGGCACGAACCAAGCGAGACCAATCGATGGTACTTCCACGAAACACCCAGCTAGTCATACAGGAGACCGCCATCACCACCATCAACGACGTGCAGTCCCTCACACTTCAACAGCAATCAACGCTATCACCATTGTTCGGTCCCCCAGATTACAACCACCACCAACACCACAATGGCACGCAATCGACAACACGACGCGGATGCTTCGCAGCTAGCCGTCGCAGCCGCGGCGCAGCGAAAGACGAATCTGCTGGTCTGGCTTAAACAACAGCTCAATAATAACCCTTTCCTGCCGCCGCAAACCAACCAGATCCTGACGGTCACGGCCTCCGACGGCGTCGCGGTATCCCCAGGACAAATCCAGCATTGCTACAGGACTGCCCATCAATACCGCCAGCTCCCGCGCTCTGATCCAAGGCACATCCAATGGCGCAAAAAACTCGCGGCTGGGTTGACGGCTTTCTACCAGGCCCAGAACGGCATACCCGCTCAGCTGTGGGACCTGCCTGATGGCTACTCGCTCATGGTGGAGAAGGAGTACAATGTATGATCTACTACTCTCAATGGGTGTTCTACTTGATGCTGATTGCTGGCTAGTACGGACGATCCATGGGAGCTGAACTCCTCTTTCTCTACGGTCACCCGCTCGGTATCGACAAGCGTTTCGGCAGTACGGAGACGTTTCTCCCGCACCTCCGCTGGATTGTGGCGGGTATGTCGCCGGGAGCATGTATCTGCCGGAGCTGTACGCAGTACTACACGGGAGTGGAGCCGAAATAGTACCTCAGAATAAACTATGGTGCCTGCGGTTTTGGTGACCAATCTTTTTGCGGTTCCTATTTCAAGCCAGCTAGCAGCCGGCAGCAAATATGAAACCCATCGTGTGCAAAAGTCACAGGTCATGTACCTTCCTATGGATACGGATTCCTGGACCGATGTTGGTGTGAATCGGTGAAGTCCTTTTACATCATGAAGCACCGAGTTTTGTATTGAAATAATCCTCGTGTACACTGAACCCCCACGTCATAGCAAACGATTTTCACTCTAAAGCCAAATCCAGTGGTCACATGTACTCGGTTGGAGTACGGACTTAAAGGTTTGGAGAACTTTTCGGTCCCGGCACTCAGCTGTTCAACTACCATCCAAAATACGGGCCGCCATCCGAATTTCCGAATTATCGGCCGCCATCCAGAGTTCGCCAGCTGATAACCGCTGTCCCAGGTGATGCATAATCAACCACAGGTAGTGATTGATCCTCATAGTGGAAATGAACGGGGTCTACCAGTCATCGCCGAGTAGTGAAGTTGCAATTCGAGAGTTGTCAGGTAATCTTTTTTTTATGTGGGGCTGGCTGTTGCCATGGAAACGTTCCGGGTCAAGAGCTAAAAGCCACTATGCCTTTCTATACCGCAGGCACCGTACATACGGCACAAATAATCACATTCTACTACGAATCCCCTTCCTATCTGGATCACAAGCTTCAACCCGTTATTCTGTTGCGTCCCACCACCTCAGAGCATCCTTCATCTGTTTGTTCAGCATGCCAAGCGCCTTGGTGTTTGTGTCACGGCTGGTGTGGATCGCTCGAGCCCGCTGGTTGTCGATGGCACTGGCGACGGCAGCTAAACACTTGTCGAGATCTTTATGGAAGAAGGCTCGACGTTTGTGGTAGTCCAGCTTTTCTTTCTCCAGCTGTTGCTTCGAAGGTCCGGTATTTTGGAGCGCAGTGCGCAAAGACATCCTGTCATCTGCGAGAGGTGTCGCAGACAAACCAGGAGGCATTGTGCCGCTTGGGGGTGGGGGTTTAGGTGGCCTCTCGGGCATTGTACTTGCTCCTACTAACTGCGGCGGCTTCGAAGGAACTCCCGGACGTGCGTTCGCATTTGGTCCGGCAGCGGATGTCGTGGTGGGCTTTGCTGGATCTGCTCGACGCACTGGCGGAAATACCGTCGGCTTTGCTCCCAGCAAAGGTGGGGTTATGAACATCTTCGACGAGCTGAACATCGCAGTTTGCAAGGTCTTCGCACCTTCCGCTGACGAAGTTAGGCTTAGTCCCATCAGGGAGTTTGTAACCATCAACAAGCCCTTTGCCAACACACCCTCCTTCTTGGCCTCAGCATTTGTGGCAGCAGTATCGACGAATATATTGAGGTTCTCCGTGAAGTTCGACATGTACGGCGCCTGTTTCTCTGCCTTAGCCTCAGCAGTGGCCGTTCTTGGAGCGACTGGCGTTTGTGGAGGGCCTCCGCCAATGGTGCCTCTTGGAGGAACTCCGCCAGTGGTGCTCCTGGGAGTGGCGCCACTAGTCACATTTCTTGGAGGGGCTCCTCCAGTGGTATTTCTGGGGGGGCTCCAAAAGTCACCGTTTTTGCAGGGGCTCCGCCAGTCGTGGTTCTTGCTGGGTTCTTGGGCGCCGGCTCCTTCCTCGGCGCATCTACTTTTCCCACACGTGATGTGGCGTTTGAAACCACAGCAGTACCCCTCGGCCCTGCGTTTCGTGGTATTGTTACGCTCGTCTCCCGACCCGTGATCCGTACGGCACCCCTTCGTCTCAGCTGGGTGGTGTTCTTCGGGACTGTGTTTTGGTTGCGCACCTGCGCAGTTGTCGAAGCGTGTGGAGGCGCATTCTTCTCCGGAACTAACCCGGGCCGTCTGATTGGTGGCCTAGGTGGTAGTGGGGGTGGGCGCGACTCGACGGTTAACTCTTCTGGATCCGTTTGTTGTGTGGTGCTGGTGGTTTGAGGCGCATTACTCCCCGGAATTAACACGGATCGTCCCGTTGGTGCCCTGGGTGGAAACGGGTCTGGCCTGGGTGGTAAGGGAAGTGGCGCAGGTGGTATGAGTGGTGTCCTAGGTGCTTTAGGTGGTGGCCTGGGTGGCAAGGGGGGTGGCTCAGGATGTTTTGCAAGTACGGCGGATGGTTCATACGGTGAAGGAGGGCCTTCGTCATGCTCTGCAGGATGTTCCTCCGTGGCCGGTGGCTCTGGAACCACCTTAATGACAGAACCAAGAGAAGCTTCTCCAGGATGACTGGCAAGTACGGTGGGATGTTCATATGGTGACGGCCATCTCTGCACCTCCTGGCCAACATTCTCCGCCGTGCCCAGTGGCTCTGGAACGCCCTTGGTGTCCGGACGGTCAGATGCCTCTCCAGGAAGATTGACAGGTACGAGGGATGCCATGGGTGGTAAGGAAAGTGGTGCAGGTGGCCTTGGGGGTGGCCGGGGCGGTACGGTGGGAGGCTTAGGATGTTTTGCAAGTACGGCGGGTGGTTCATATGGTGAAGGAGGGCCCTCGTCCTGCTCTTCAGCATATTCCTCCGTTGCCGGTGGCTCTATAACCCCCTTAATGTCAGGACCAACAGACGCTTCTCCCGGATGACTGGCAAGTACGGGGGATGCCAGAGGTGGTATTGGGGCCGACGCAGGTGACCTTGGGGGTGGTCTGGGTGGTACGCCGGGTGTCCTAGGAGAAAGTAAGGAGAGAGGTTGATATGGTGAAGGAGACTCCTCGGATTTCTGGGCAGCAAGTACCGGTGTGCCCGGTGGCTCTGGAACGTTCTTGGTGTCAGGACCACCAAGCACTTTTCGAGGATGATAATCCGGTCCGGGTGGACATTCAGATGGGGAGACGTTTTCCTCGGCCTGCTGAGCAGGATGTTCCTGCGTGCCTGGCGACTCCGGAACCTTTAAGGTGTCATGACCACGGGCAGGCTTGCTGGGGGCATCTGCGGTAATGTCCGCCGATGATTCTGGTGCCTTCCGTTCCGACGTATCGAACGACATGTTCGACGGCGTGAGGGGACTCGCGAAAGGGCTTGTCGAATGCCGCGATGGTCTGCGTACGGCGTTGCTCCTTTTAAGGTTGGGGGTTATCTTCCGGACTGAGAGAATCTCGGGGTTTTTCGGATCTTGAACATTCTCGGTCGTTCCACCAGAGGTTTCTCCGGCGAACGCGGATCCAGGAGTTTCTGCAAGCACGAGGAGAGGATCATATGGTGACAGCCATTCCAGGGCTCGCCGACCAGCATGTTCCCTCATATCCGGTGTCTTTGGAACCTCCTTGGTGTCCGGACTAGCAGCCGGCTTGCTGGGGGAAACAGGTTTCTCGTCCGTCGCTAATTCAGGTCTGTTACTATCCGACGTCTCAAAGGAAGTGTTTGACGGCGGCATTGGACTCGCGACGATGGCGACAGCTTCGCTCAGCGTAGCTGCGGGCTCCACGTGCGCTGAATCGGCATTATTTTGTGGTTCGGTTACAGTTCCGATAGGTGTCTCGGAATTATAGTTGAGGACGCGATCGGCACCGTACCATTCAGCGGCCTCAGCCAGTAAGTCTGGTGACGTTACCACGGATGCAGTACAACAGGCAAGTGCCCAGCCCCTCGAGACGACATCTATGAAGTTTTGACGCGTGGGCGGTGGGTGAGATGGCTCTGGCGGTTCGGTTGCGGTTCGGATGGGTGATGCGGAACTACAGTCGATACCCAAATCGGTACTGGGCGAGTCGACGAACTGCGGTGGTGCTTCCGGTGCGCTTCCCAAAGATCTAGTCCTTTGGTCCAGTATCCAGTCCTTTGGGAATAAGTCTACGACGTTTTGGTTGAGATCTGAGGGCAGACGGTTAGGACTCTCGGGTTGTTCATCTACACTGGGATCGGGTATGGGCGCACGCATTGCGTACTTTTTGGTATCAAACGGGGATGGAAACTGGTTCATGGAGCACCTAATGATCGATGTGATCGATTGAAGATGTATCATGATTGTGTGTTCGACATGATCGCTCGCGGTCAGAATGTAATCTTCGAATTGATCCAAGTTCGCAATCGCTTCATTAGCGTGGCGCCTGGGTAAGCTCGAGGTTGCGAGACCTATCGCTCGCATCTTTCAATCGAATTTACACATACATGCCCGGTTCAAGCAATCCGGCACCGTCACAGCCAAAATGCATCGTCTCCTTTTACCACGGAGAGTACAAGCTCAATGACGAAACATCAGATACCACATCTTCGTCTTCCTCATGATTTGGCTGATTCTCCATCACATGTTTTTTCCAGGCGTCTTTCAGATCACTCTGCCCATGCACGATTTCAGCATCTTCCGAATCCCTCGTTCCTTCCGAATCCCTCGTTCCTTCCGAGTCGCTCGTCCCTTCCGATTCGCTCGTCCATTCCGACTCGCTCGTCCATTCCGATTCGCTCGTCTCTACCGAATCGTTCGCCCTTTCTTCCCTCGCCGGCGTCATAACTTTGTGGACTCTTCGCACGACCTTCTTCGCTTTCTCCACGAGCTTGCGAACTTTGCGAACTTTTCCATTACTTGGACACGGAATATCCAACCTCTTCAGCTGACCCGGCAAGCTTCCCGCAATCATGCAATCCTCTGCCTTCATCGTGACATTTAGATCCGTCCCCCGCATTTGCCACACATACTCCTCCCACATGTAGAACAAAAAACTCGTCTCATCCATCAGGCCATAGAAGTGCGTCCTATCGTAGCCCCTGAACTTGGTCTCGATCCAAACAACGTGCAAGCCCACTTCCGTCATCGCCCGTCTGATGTGGATAGCACAGACAGGATCCCACGTGCGCACCCATAGCATCCATCGTTCGCGTTCTTCCGGCTCGCATAGCTTGGCGGTAATGATACCGGCACCGGTGGGCGTGGACGGGAACCGCAACGAGAGCCTACTGAGTGATCGGGATAGGACATCGTTGAGTTCAATGCCCGTGGGCGCAAGAAACGGGATTTGAAAGAGTGTCTCGGAACGGTGCTTGGCGTACGGCGGCGGCGGGGCGATAGACATTGAGATATTGATATGTGGCAGCTGCCGGTGGTGGTGATGCGTCCAGATGGTGTACCACTCCGTCACTCGGGATTGGATATCGAAGACGTTCGGGTTTGCTGAGTCATGTGACGTCGATATGTTACGTACTTACAGCTCGATTGGGTACCCCTGCCAAAGAAGGCGTCATATGGAAAATTTCTCCCCTCTAACCAACGAGTTGAAAGGACCGTTTGATGCTCACGTAAAATTACACTTTCCGAAAAAAACACTGGTCCGAAATTCGGACCAGTCTGTCACACGTCTGCCATGTGCCTCTTTAACGTTTCAACGTGGTCGCCATGTATATTTCATTTGCTGATCACGTGCTGATCATCCTTACTGATCTCGCTATCCCATGAAGTCACAAGTTAGAGCGGCGATGACAGATGCTTCTACTGCTTTTTATTAATTGCCGGACATTATATCGTGTACATGAGCGTGACGCTGCTCCAGCAATAAATGATTCGGCTCCACTCCGGCGGCGGAGTATCTGGACTTTGCAGCGACACTTCGTCAGGTTTTCAACATTGACACCTGTCAGCCACGCTGAAAATTGTCAAAAGGAATGTCAGAATCGTTTTCAAGGTGATTACAAGTATTAGTAGGCACGTGATAGATGACGCACGTAAACAGAGAGCCGAGTGATATGCAGTGAGCGATCACATCCTGTAGCCTTCACATATCACCGTACCCCCCGCGATCTGCTCCCCGCCAAAGCAACAAGGAAGCTGGCCGCTCGCTTCTACCAGCTCAAGGCAGGACACGCCATCACGGCGATCTACCTGAAGTGGAATAAGAAGCGGGATGATGACCATTGCTGGTGGTGCAACAGGCCTACCAAGCAGTCCCGCGAGGACCTATTCAAAAACTTCTCACGGTGGAGAAGTCAACGGAATGGCTTGTAGGCGAAGTTCGGGAAGGAGACGGAGAGAAGGAAAGAGAGTAGGTCGATAGCGAAGTTGTTCGCCGACGAGCGGTGCAGCGAGGCAATCCAAGAGTTTTTAAGAACGACGGATGTGGGGAAAATAGCTCTGCTAGACCTGGCGGAGGAGGATGAGGAGGATAGCAGTGCTACAGTTCGCCATAGTCTAGATAGGCTGCATGCGAAATAAAACAGGAACATCTCTCTCTCTCTCTCATATCACCGTAGCATGCGAAATAAACTGAAGATTTATCTCACACACTCCATCATAACACCGTGTAGGGCTACCCGTATCAGCTCCGTAATACGGTAGCCAACTAAGCTGAATATTCAGAGTCGGTACTCTCGAAGAAAAATCATGAAAACCGCCGAAGAGTGACTGGCAAGACAGCGACGAATGACTTGTCAATTCACCACACTCCTGTGAGTCATGTGATTGGTTCGGATCCTGTAGTGGACTTCAGAAGAGTTGTTCTGACGATCGAGACACGTGATGACGTCATCTTTTCTCGATTGGAGATCAAGAACCCTTACCCATCCATGGAGTGTGAATGTGAATGGGAGTGTGAGTGTGAGCCCATAGCCAAGTGTTTTTATTCGTCCGCACTAGTGCTTGCTGCGCTAGCCCTTCTTAAGCCCACGCTGCCGGAGAGCCCCACCAATATCCCCAAGGGTCCAACAATCACTCAACCCAGCCAACCTCGCAAAAACAACTTCCGAATTTCATCCTCTCCCCACGCATCCTCACATCCTCGTTTCAACCCCCACCCCTACCTTCATCATCATCCACCGCTGTCATCTATCCTTTCTTCCACCGCTTTCATTTCTCCTGTTTTCCGCCCTCATCCGTCGCCAACCCTCTCAATCCAATATTCTGTCACCGTTCCCCTAAACACCAAGAGATACAGGATGGGATATCGCATCGTAGCTGTTGCTGGTATGCCTGTCGGCTCCAATGAAGACGATGTCAAGCGCATTCTTTTCCCTAAGCGCGAGAGGTGGCCAATTCATCGCATCACTTTCGATCCGGTCAAGGAGCTTGTCTACATCCAGTTCGATCACAACCTGCACGGCATCGAGGCCATCAAGTTCCTCAACAAGAAGGGGTATACCGCACAGTGGTCGCCTACCGGATTCGGGACGTCTACCCATTCGTCCGCAAGCCCCGGTGTCGCGGATTCTTCGCCCAATGGAAGTCCTAACGGTGGTGGATTTCGCGGACCTGTTGCGCCTGGCTTTCACGGCGATACCTTCAGGAGGTACATCAAGACCCCGGGTTCGTCGCCCAAACTGAAGTCGTCTCCAACCAGTCAGCAGCCTTCGCCGCCCATTCCTACCATCCCGATGTCGACTGCCAGAGCGACCACCGTGAAGACCACCGTCATGTCTTCGGTCAGAGCCTTCGCGAAAGAGTACCAGAAAGTTGAGAGCGTCTTCGTCTCTCCGATCCCCACCGATATCACTCGTCCGATGCTGTGGCGCCTACTCGAGACGTACGGAAAGGTCAAAGGTCTTCGTCTTCATAAGAGGACTGGCCAAGCGTTCGCCGACTATTTCGACATGGTCGACGCTACCAATTGCGTTGAGAACTTCGAGCGAGATCACGGCTTTCCCGCCAACTGGGCTGTGAGTCGTAATGGCAAGAAGTGGTCCTACAATGATGCGTTTCATATACGCTCGACCTCTTCGGTCGGCCGTCCTGAAAGACCTGTGCCTTGTCTTCCCGAGTTTACACCATTTCGCCACAAACAGCCTCACTACGCTATATTCGGCAAGAATCAAGACAAGAAGTGCCCTTCCGTTGAGAAGAACGATGCGGTTCCGCTCGAGCAGAAGTCGCAGATCCAAAAGCAGTATGTTTGTCCGAGTTCCTATCGATTTACGATACAACTAACATAGCCTAGGGACGTCCAGGAGCAGTCTGATTCGGATGATCAGATCGAAATACAGGATACTGCCACGGTCGTCACCGCTGTTACTGGAGTCACGGAGCCTTTTGCCGATTACAAGTCAATGTTCGCTCAGCAGAAAGAAATGAATCAGCACTACAAGGAACTGATTGACCTCAAGGATCGTGCTCAGGCGAAGGCAGAGCTGGATTGGATGGCCGAGCGTCACGAGCTCATCAACCGCCTTGCTATCGCTACGGATATGGCGACTGCTGAGCGTGCTCAGCACGCTGCCGAGCGTCAGGACCTTCTCAATCGCATTCTTGCGGCCGAGCAGAAATCTACCGCTGGCGTCAACGGGAAGAGCGATCTGCAAGATGCCATGCTCCACGATATCAGCACCTCGAAGGGACATCTCATGCTCATCGATGAGCAGATGCAGGCTCTCCATGATATCCTCACCAAATACCCAGTTTAATCCCGAAGGATAGAGTGTCAAACTATGGCTCATGGTTTTTCTTACACTTCTCTCGACTGTCGTAGTAGCGAGAAGGTTGCCATGGGTTTCATATTAGTCTTGGGGTTCCAGTTTTGTCGGATGATCTTTCTAACTGCTCCCATGTCCTGTATTTCTTTCGGATTCTTTTTTTCTTTCGGATTCTTTTTTTCTTTCGGATTCTTTTTTTCTTTCGGATTCTTTTTATGTTTGTCTGTGTCTCATTTCCCAGGTGCCAGGAATATGCCATGACGATACGAGCCTTTTGGAGTGCTAGGAGTGCCGGTGTGAAGTGTCTTTACGCCCAGGGAATGTTGAATACGACGAAAAAGCGAGGGTGCGAATGGGCATCTTCATTGTACGGGTGCAAGTGTTTCATTTCACCTTGACTGTGCTCATCACTGAAGCCATCTCACCCGTGGCTAGAGGGAACATTGGCGGATTCCTCCGATATCTCCCTTAAGAAAACCAGTAAAGGTAACGTCGAACCCCTGATTTATATTCACTTCACACCCAGCGTCGATAATCACTCGTGCAGAACGCCAAGAGATTTACCGCTTCACCGCTGCCTGCATTGAAAGATGGGCTTCGACAACAGCCCTTCCTCCCTTCTTAGGCCGCGGTATTCATAAATAGGTTCGTGATAGCCGGCGAAGTACTTCCATATCGTGAGTCGTGACTGGACTGTTAGTTGCGGTCCTACCGTAACGTGGCATAGAAGGTAGTACTGTGACTCGTGAATACTGAATATCACCGCCCTTTGTAATATCACTTGCCAGTGCTGTCAACCGTCCATCCCGTCCGTCTTTGAGGTTGCCCAGTCGGGAACGCAATAGGTCAGGCTGAGGAGACTGAGGACTAAAGGCTTCCGGGCTGGAGAAATGAGGACGGATACCCTACAGCGCCCGGAATGCCCTGAGACACTAGGACACTGCTGGCGGCGTGGCGCCACGCAGTGGGGCCGGTGTGAGGATGCGTGGCTGGGCAGCTCTATTTCGCCCGAATCATATCTGGTTCCGGACGACTGGTGACCGGAGCTTAGGCGTCCAGGTCATGTTCGGTGTCCTGAGCGTGATGGGGCCTACGAGCAGCCCGCCTCCAGGACGAACCTGGAGGCCTACAAAGCACATTTGTATAGAGGACCCTCTGCCGCTGCAGAAGACAGACGATAATCAAGATTTTATACTCCTATATTTGACAGGTTATGAGCCGGGTTTGACGCTGAAAAATATCACTTACTTGAGAAATATTCTATCTTTCACCATCCTGGTGGATTGCCTCCCGGCACATCTCTCTCTCGAAGTTTATCGCTCTCTCGAAGTTTATCACTCACCGTCTCTTGAGAATCTACCCCTCCCGTTCGCATAACTTCGCTCGTCACTCGCCGCTCGTCGCTCGCATACCTTCGTCGTCGCACGTATACCTCCTCCGAAACCTCGTATAGACAATCACCATGTTTATCTACATGTGTAAGCACGGATCAACCCCTCTGCTCAATGCAAGCAATTACTACACCTGGAAAGCAGACATCACGATGTTCCTCACCTCTGAAAACGCACTCCTGATAGTGCTGGGGAATGAGCCTGCACCGGCAGGCCAAGGCTTCCAGGCTCGGGAGACCTATCTGAAACGATACGGGTTTGCCACTGGCATGCTGTATTCGTCGGTAGAGATGAGTATTTGAGCTATGCTGAACAAGCTACCCGATAGAGAACCAGCTGGGGTTTGGGCGGTCCTCGCGGAGAAGTTGGACACCGCTTCGTCACGGACTGGGCGACTTCCTATGGCGCAGCGCTTTTGGAAGATGATCATGCGACACAGCGAGAAGGTGGCCGACTACATCGCCACGATGACGAATCTGCAACGGCAGGTGGATGGAACAGTTGAGGAAATTCCGAATGCAACAATCATGTCCCATCTTCTCAGAACCCTCCCGGCAGCGTTCAAGAATGCGGTTGACATGGTCAGCCTCCGGCCCGAGGAAGACGAAACCCTTGATTCGGTCAGAAATGTACTCATCGAATACGAAAACGCTGAGAGGACGCGCAACGAACAAACCGGTGGAACCACCAACACCGCCAACACTACCAGATATGCCCTCATCGCAGCCACCGTCACCAACCCGGAGGTCTCTCGTAATTCCAAACACAGACCGGCACAGGCAGGCAACGTTCAAGCAAGCGTGGCAGTCGCGGTAACGACGCTGGCGGTCAGGGGGAGAATCGGAAACCGTATAATAGTCGCAAGGCGACCAACTTCGATGGCGAGTGTTGGCACTGTGGGAAGAAAGGTCACTGAGAGCAAGATGGCTTCACCAAGAAGAAGGCCATACAGCAGAATGCGACGACAGCTTCTTCCCACTACGGCAATGAGGTTCATGGTCTCTCCACCGCGGTTGTAAGTATTGCAGCGGCGCTCGCCGCATGGATCATAGACTCGGGTGCTTTCCACCATCTGTATGGCAACCGTGAAATCTTCCGAGAGCTCCGCGCTCTGGCTACACCACTACTGGTCAAGGTCGCCAATGGAGCTGTGTGCATGGCCATCGAAATGGGAAGCGTTCACTTCCATCTTGACTGCGCGATACTGCTGACAATGAACGTACTATATGTACCAGACTTTTGAGTGTCGCTGATCTCGGTGGACCGCCTGGAAGAGGCAGGCTGTGAGGTTGTTTTTCAACTCGGTCATTGCCTTCTGCGGTCACGAGCCATTGGGCAACAGAGATCGAGAGAACGGCGATCCGGTCCACGCGTGTGCACTCTGCTCGGGGGTGTCATACTGGATGCGCAAGCAAACTACGCTGCGGGCACCGCAACAGGCACGGCTACGGCGAACTTCACGTTTGCCAGTACATCCATGGGAAGCAGCAGCGCCCTCACCCCGTCGGCAGACACGACAGACCTGGACACCTGGCACCGACTGTTTGTGCACCTCAATCTCGCCGATCTCCGCGTCCTACTTCCGAAAGACTGCTACGTAAAGCAACCTGCGAAGTCCATCAGCTCCGTGTGCATGAAGGCCAAAGCAAAGGAGCAGTATCAACGCCAGACTCTGTCCCGCAGCGCGGACAGAGCTCCCGAGATTATTCAATCGGACCTGTGCGGACCGATAACGCCACCATCCCAATCCGGCTGCCCCTACTATATGCTTTACATCGACCACTATAGCCCGCAGAGTTGGGTGTTCTTCCTGCGATCTAAGACGTCTGCGGAGATATGCGCGATATTCCAAGAGTTTAAGGAGAATACAACAACGATTCCTTCCGGTGGATCCTTACCCAGTGCGTCATCTCCTATGAGCCGTCTCCGCCCTACACACAGCACAAGAATGGTGTGTCGGAAAGGATGATTCAGACGCACAACTCCAAAGCTCGCGCCATGATGATCGACGGCCACATACCTACAAGCATGTGGGCCAAGGCGGTGTATGCGGCGAACTACCTGCACGCGAGAAGCCCTACCGCAGCGAATAAGGGCATGACACCTAACGAGAAACTGCACGGGACAGAGCCAGCTGTGGCGCATCTCCGCAGCTTCGGCTGCCGCACTTATCGAGCTGTACCAGCCAGTCAGCGGACGAAGTTTGGCTCACGAGCTGAGATGCACTACCTTGTTGGCTACGTACACGTCAGTACTACAATCTTGCGTCTCTGGGACCCCGCAAGCCGGCAGGCGGTACAGGCATCCAACGTTACCTGCGACGAATCCGGTGATAGTGAGCGCGGCATCACTGCAAGCGAAGGCATGCATAAATTTCAGATTGGGGACATCACACCAGGTGTCCCGGCTACGCCTGGTGACCAGTCATTACCAACAGCATATCTGTGGCACGGGTACCTTTTCCGGAAAGATATAATCTCCAAAAAAGGGCGCGAGCGGACACCCACCAGATCTAGTGTGGAAGAGGAACCAGTGGATCGTGCATCTCTGGTGTTCTACCGGGAAGCAGTTGCTCACCCGGGGCTCGGCTCAAAGTGGGTTGGTACTGTTGACGAGAAACTCCGGTCGCTGGCCGAGAACTCGACATGGGATTTTATCCGGTGGGAAGACGTTCCGACTGGGATTACACCCATAAGCTCTTAGTGGGTCTTCAAGACCAAGCAGCTGCGTGGCGGAGGCACAAGACAAAGACTACGGTGGAGACGGTAGTGGAGACAAGGACAGAGTTAACAGTTGTGGAATTAACAACTTGTTGCGTGAGGAACTAATTACAGAGGGGCAACGGCCAATTTATATAGGAAATCCTCCACTTCTTCCTGCAACCCGATAATGACAGTGGGCGTGTGCTAGACCCTGAGGAATCCTTCGCTGCAGTGCCCGCTTTCCAACTCACACCTGCGCAGCCGTTCAACCTCTGCTCTTACATGCACAGCCCCAATCCTGTGCAACTCATTCCTGCGCTGCCTAATCGCTTCCTCCCGAGTCGTCCGATCGCTGTCCCGGCCCTTTCTCGGTTGCCCTGTCGCCGGCCGTCACAGTAGTTCCCCCTAAGGCCTGAGTCCCCACAAGAGCAAGTTGAACTGGTCCAGACTGCATGGGGTAACGATGGTGGAAGTCGTCAACGGTGTCACGGTTCAGAAATCCTTGCCTTAAGTAGCTACTGGGATGATGGCCTTCAGCCATCGAAATACCTTTTGGGCGAGTGATGTAATACTTTCCCAGCATTCTTTATCACAGTTTGATGGCTGCTATAAGGTCATGAATTCAATTCTCACGGCGAGTGGTTATTTTCCCCCGCTGCGGGGTAATTCAGGAATAGCATGGCTTACACTGAGTGGTGTATTATGATTCTTATCATGCAATATCACTCATTGGGGTTAACTACTTGAAGGCTGCATGGAGGAAGCCCCTAGAGAGGGGATACTGTCACGGTTTACAAATCCTTGCCTTAATAGCTACTGGGATAATCACCATCACTCATCAAAATACCTTTTGGCCAATTGGTATAGTACTTTCCCAGGGTTTTTTTTTACGACACCGGGCTTGCAGCTCTGTAAGGGTTTCTTCGGGTTTCCGGGGGGTGTTGCGTAGCCCCTCCAATTCACCAGCTACCAGAGTTTGCCCTGAGGTTACGGCTGTTAAGCACTCTTCATCCTCGCATTCCTTATGGCCGTCCCTAACTACTGAAGCTGGTGGCGGTGGGATTGGCCCGGCGAGTGGGTGTTTGAGGGAGGCATCAAGGAGGGATACTGGAAACGTTTTGTGCTTTTGTACAGTTTCTAATATTATCACGGCTCCCGACAGAATGACGAAGGAATGACGAAGGAAGAGCTGGCGCAAGAATTAGAAGAGTTAGCAGGCAGTGCACAGGCAGTGCACTGGCAGTGCAAGGATGAGTCGTAGAAGATTGGGGGCTGTGTGCGGGGAGCATGGATAGTGCGGCTGCGCAGGGTATGAGTCACCGAAGCGGGGTACTGGCAAGCTGGATGTCTCAGGGTCAGGCACACACCCAGGGTCATTGTCAGGTTGCAGGAAGATGTTACGTCTCGCGACGGAATGACGAAGGGAGGGTCGGCGCAAGGATTGGGAGAGTTGGGAGGCAGTGCACAGGCAGTGCACCTGCAGTGCAAGGATGAGTCGCAGAGGATTGGGGGCTGTGTGCAGGGAGCAGGGATAGCGCAGTAATGAGCCGCAGGGGATTGGGGCTGTGTGCAGGAAGCAGGGGTAGTGCGGCTGCACAGGGTATGAGTCACGGAAGTGGGGTACTGGCAAGGTGGATTTCTCAGGGTCTGGCACACGCCCACGGTCATTGTCAGGTTGCGGGAAGAAGTGGAGGATTTTCTATATAAACGGGCCGCCGCCTGTCTGTATTTAGTTCTTCACGCAACAACTTGTTAACTGAATCACTGTTACCTCTGTCCTTGCCTCGGCTGCCGTCTGCGCCGTAGTCCTTGTCCCTGCCTCTGTTCTGAGTTGCCGTCTGCACTGAGCCCTGCCTTACCTTGTCCTCTGAACCCGTCTTGCCTCTACCGAAGGCAGAACCCGATCCCCAGCCCGACTTCGCTACCTAGAGCCTTGCCCGACCGTGCCGTTACAGAAGAAGTGGAGGATTTCCCATATAAACGGGCCGTTGCCCCTCTGTATTTAGTTCTTCACGCAACAACTTGTTGATCCAACAACTGTTACCTCTGGCCTTGCCCAGGCTGCCGTCTGCGCTGTAGTCCTTGTCCCCGCCTCTGTTCCCAGTTGCCGTCGGCACTGAGCCCTGCATTGCCTTGTTCTCCGAACCTGTCTTGCCTCTGCCGGACGCAGTATCTGATCACCCGCCCGGCTTCACTACCTGGAGTCTTGCTGGACCGTGCCGTTGCAGATTGCTGTCCAGACTCTGAATCCCGTCTGCTTACTTCTATCCAACTCTTATTTATTCTATGACTACCTATTCCAGGGTTCTGATCACTTCTGAACGCACTGTGTTTGCTCTGACTACCCATGAGAACACCAGGGTGTCACACTATGTTTCTGTAACGGCACGGTCGAGCAAGGCTCCAAGCCGCAAAGTCGGGCCTGGGATCGTGTACTGGATGCAGCGGGGGTAAGACGGGTTCAGAGGACAAGGCAAGGCAGAGCTCAGTGCAGACGGCAACTGAGAAACAGGGACAGAGACAGAGACTACAGCGCAGACGGCAGCCAAGGCAAGGACAGAGGTAACAGTTGTTGTATTAACAAGTTGTTGCGTGAAGAGCTAATTATAGAGGGGCGCCGGCCTGTTTATATAGGAAATCCTCCATTTCTTCCTGGAACCAGACGATGATTGTGGGCGTGTGCTAGACCCTGAGAAATCCTCCTCGCCAATACACCGCTACGGTGACTGACACCCTGCGCAGCCGCGCTACCCCTGTTACCGGCACACAGCCCCAATCCCGTATGACCCATTCCTGCATCGCTGACCGCGCTGCCCCTTGTGCTACCCCCGCGCTGCCTCCGCACTGCCTTCAGACCCCTGCTCCAACTTCTACTCGAACGTTCCAAGGTGAGCCATGATAGTAGACCCTCCTAAGGATCTAGTTTTGACGAGAGCAAGTTGGATTGGGCCCGGCTTCATTGGGTATTGTTAAAAAAAGCCGTCCACGGCTTGCACCTCCACCAGGTGTTCGTCTAGTTCCCACGTCGGCGACGCGAAACCCCTTCATTTGACCTGGTACTGAAGTTTTCCCCTGAGCAGTCGGCTGTCCAGCACTTCGTTGACTGTCGATTCTTCTTGGTCGTTCACGGTTTCCGGCAGTGGTGGCCGGAGGATCTGGCCGGGGAAAGGGACGTCGGCTGATGCATGAAGAAGTGATACAGGGAATATGCGGTGGTTCTGGACGGTATTCAGGATGTCCAGCTCGTATGCGTGGGTTCCGATGGCCCGGGTGATTTGGTAAGGTCTGTGGTGCTTATTCTCTGGTTTCTGGCTCAATCGCTCCGTTCGCCAGTTTCGGCCGTCCACCCATACCATATCTCCTGGCTGGAAGGCTGGGGCAGGAGTCCAGTGCAGGTCGGTGTTGTCCTGTTGACGTGCTTGGGCGTAAAGCATTTCACTGCGGGCAACGCCGTGGATCTGCTGCAGCCGTTCTGCTGGGGTTTGTGCCTGTCGTTCCTCATTCGTGTCAGTTCGAAAATCGAGCTCGAAGCCGCAACGGGGGTGGTAGCCTAGGTTAGTAAAGGACGGAGACAGGGTGGTAGTGTCGGATGTTAGGTTGTTGCCAGCGAACTTTGCCAAGAATAGGTAATCCACCCAGTCGTCTTGGGGGTAGCTCACGTCCGCTCGGAGGTGTGATTCCATGACTGTATTCATTCGTTCCGTTTGGCCGTCCTTCTGGGGGTGGAAGGCAGTAAATAGTCGTGTCTCGATGTAACAGCACGGTCGGGCAAGGCTCCAGGTAGCGAAGCCGGGCTGGGGATCGGGTTCTGGGTTCGGTAGAGGCAAGACGGGTTCAGGGGACAAGGTGAGGCAGGACTTAGTGCAGACGGCAACTGAGAACAGAGGCAGGGACAAGGACTACGGCGCAGGCGACAGCCGAGGCAAGGACAGAGGTAACAGTGATTGAATTAACAAGTTGTTGCGTGAAGAACTAAATACAGAGGGGCAACGGCCCGTTTATATAGAAAATCCTCCACTTCTTCCCGCAACCTGACAATGACCGTGGGCGTGTGCCAGACCCTGAGAAATCCACCTTGCCAGTACCTCACTTCCGTGGCTCATACCCTGCGCAGCCGCACTACCCCTGCTTCCTGCACACAGCCCCAATCTCCTGCGGCTCATTACTGCGCTATCCCTGCTCCCTGCACACAGCCCCAAATCCTCTGCGGCTCATCCTTGCACTGCCGGTGCACTGCCTCTGCACTGCCCCCCAACTCTCCCGATCCTTGTGCTGACCCTCCCTTGGTCATTCCATCGCGAGCCGTGACAGTAGTCCCTCCTAAGGCTCGAGTTCCCACGAGAGCAAGTTCGACTGGTCCAGGCTGCATGTGGTATCGTCGATGGAAGTCGTCCACAGCTTGTACCTCGGTAAGGTTCTCCTCTGGTTCCCATGTTGGTGCCGCGTAGCCTCTCCATTTCACCAGGTACTGGAGTTTGCCCCTGAAGTTCCGGCTGTCGAGGACCTCTTCAACCTCCCATTCTTCTTGGTCGTCCACGATTACCGGAAGTGGTGGTGGTGGAATATGTCCAGGGAAGGCATCGTCAGCGGAGGCGTGAAGGAGGGATACAGGAAATGTTCGGTGCTTCT